TGAATCAGAATCATTTGTATTGCCACGTAAGTAACAAACAAAAGTTACCACTTGGAAATTGAAGACTAGAATCTGACTTTTGACACTGGTGCCCTCCACCACAATGTTCAATTATAAGCTTTTTGGAAATTTGTGATGTCACAAAATTACAACCTAACCTAAGTTAGGTACCTAAGCTTTACTAACATTTCCACAAATTATGCATCACATTCGTCCTTTATTTAAAATAAGCCTTTTTTGATTGTTCCATTAGCAAAAAATACAAATAATTCAAGTACTTGCAAGAAGAAAAGCTGTTTGAAGTCATTCCTCCTCGTCTCATTTTGATAATATAGAATTGACCGAATAAAAAGAGGTAAAAAGTCATGTAAAACGTCGTCAGCTACAGTCATATCATATCCAGTTTCAGGCAGTGCAAGTTATAGGATTCAAATACATACTGTCAGTAGAATACGCACAAGTCAATATCACTATCGGCCGTTATCCAGACGTACCATCACTGAGACACAGCTTCATTGGCACATTGAACATCGTGTAAAAAACAAGGTTAGATAGAAATAATATGACATTCCATATTGTATAGCCTCATATCAGGTTCGGGAGAAGATGAACCAAAACACACAAGTGCACCGCGTGAATGTCTGCGCCAGGCCCGTTATAATAAGGAACGGACAGAACGATACACTTTGAGGATCCATATGGATTTTTGCGTTTTGTTTATAATAATACAAATTCGGCCCTCAGACCAATTCCTGCTTGGCCTTCATGTCCAAATGATTACAATGAAAACAAAATGAATTCCACTCACTGAAAACACCTCAGAACGGGCACAATAAATCCAAGTTGATCCTAAAATGCAGTAAAAGTAACCAGATGTTACTATATTTTTCCGATTTTTTTGTTGAAATGATAGCTCCTGGTTTCTGCACCATGTTCAACAAATTTGATGTGAAAAAAAAACAAATAGTGTTTAAAAGTTACACACACAACAGAAACTCTTGGTGGAGGTCCGCGCTCTATGTTTTTAGTTTTTTAACAAACGGATTGGCGCAAAATCTATACAGTTACATGTTGGATCAAACCAATTGCACCGATCAAGACAATAGTGTATGCATCTTGTATTAAAGGTCCATCTGTAAGGCTTAAAAATCCTGTTTATGGTTCATTGTTTTGTATTTTTATCTATAACTCCTTTATCAGAATTATCCTGCTGTGTTGTAATGGCATCAGTGGAATAAAATACTTTCAACATCATCATTAATTCCAATATTGTGTGGATGTATCGTCCATCCAAACTCTGCTATTATGACAGGCCTGAACGCATCACTGTTTTCGATAGCAACGAGTCAACAACAGGTGTCGCAAACAAAACTGTAAAATAAATAAATAAAAATACAGAAATATATACAAGTTAAGTGCAACGCTACATCAGGTCCCACAGTACACAGAATAAAAACATGCGAAGAGGCACCAACGTTTCCATCACACTGAAATGAAAAGATGAAATAGCCCCGTACGGCAAACACAGTCAAAACAGAAGCAAATTTTTTAAAAAACAACGAAAGCAAACAGGAAGAGTTTGGTACTAAGGGCTTTGTGCGACTGAGAAGTATCACCTCCGGGTTCTAAAGCTCAGAACTTCTGGCACAAATATGTAGCTTCCCAATCTGTCTAAAAGCTCATGTCTCAGCCCTGTAACAGTATGATGTCATTGTACCACTATGACATCACACCCTAAAACAAAAGTATTGGTTTAGCTCGGAGAGAACAGATGGTTGCAGTGTTCATAAAATCCTTATTAACTACAAACATCAAATTATATCAAAAGCAATCAGATAATTGTTTGTTAATTGTTACTAAACTCCTCAAATGCTAAAAGTTTGTTCTGGAAAAAGACCCGGAAGTGACACACCTCCTTGACTTCACAGCCCAGATACTACCATAGGAATGTTCCGCAGTGACTTCTACAGCGCTATGGCTTGAGATGAAAGGCAAAACTGAATAACAACAAATAATAAAAAAGGCTTCATTGCGAAATTGTGAATTGTGGTGCAGTATTTGTTTTTATAATGCTTTTCAAATAACACATTTCTTTGTGCGCTGCAAAGATGGATAACTAGTCTTGACTTAAAGCGCATATGAAAGGTTAAAAACAGGTTGAAAGATCATTATATTTGAGAGTTTGCTATATTTTAGTTTAGCTATTTCTTTGTTTTAAAATATCTGGTTGTAAAAATATGACATCTCAGGAATTCCATGTTCCATGTGCTGCTATGTTAAAGAGTAACACCTTTATACAATTGAAATGTACATTTTAAATGTCAAAAAAACTAGTGACAGCAACTTGTTGGACTATAAGCCGGCAACTCTTTTTAAGTTTGTTTAACTCCTATATAGCAACGCAGATAATGAATGTGTTTTTATTTTGTTAGCGCTCCCCCCTGTTGTGTAGAAAGGGAAATCAGAGAGAACCAACACAGGCATGTTCAGGGAAATACACACAATTTGTTTTTAAGTGATTAGGAACATTGCCAGAGTAGAGTTTACAGACCCATTATTTGGTTTAGTCAAGGTTTAGTCGGAAAGGAAATAATGTTGATGATTCACAATGCTTTGTCCATCCCGAGTCAACAATATGATATATTCAAGCGGCTTGTATTCAAGTGCGGCTTATATGTGGAAACATTTTAGTTTGTATTCCAAATATACTAATGTGGTTTGTACACAGGTCTGTAGACTCTATAAAGTACTGTAGTTTTGTGCAATAGTTTTTTGACTTTTCAAACTTCTCCCTGATTGGTACAGATCTATCATTTACATTTTCAAAAAAGCTGAAAATTATCATAAACCTGTCACGTGCGCTTTAAAATGACTTGAGTATAAATTTGCAAGTATTTATTAAAGTTGCATTTAATAAATACAAAAAATAATCTACTCTTCACCAGGTAAACAGGATGAAACTCATCAAAAACAACAGAAATTCAGAAAACCCTGTATTCAAATAATTTCAAATCAGTTTGAATCACATGTTTGCAGCGTGTGGCTCAATCGTTACATAAATGAGGATTGTATAAAAGATAATAAAATAAGTTACTGTGTATTCTTAATGCCACAACATAAACCAGGCTGTCAATGAGAGAATGGTTTTAAATCAGTGTTGAATAAAAAACCAAAGAAAATATAAAACAAATGCAAAATCGCTTTCTGTCGCCGGGTAAAAATGCTCTTATAAAACCTTATTCCTATTGGCAAAACACATGAGATTGCATCACGGTCAAAAGGGGAATTAAAACCAGAGGAACCCATATTATGCTGGGAGCAAGCTTTTCACTACGACTGCAGAACTTACCAAAACCAAAGCACTATATTAGTGCAGTTAGCAAACAAAACAACACTATCCGTCAACACAGCTTTCTGAGTGGAGTTTGCATTTTCTCCCTGTGCCTATGCAGGTGTCCGCTGGGTCCTCAGGTTTACCTTACCCCTAAAAACATGTACATTACAATAGCTCCCCTATATATGTGCCAGGACTCCCTGAAAAAGAGATTCTGAGTGAGACTCGCAGTGGGATTTCCTGAATGGTCAATAAAATCCAAATTCCAATAGGCTCACACATTGAGAAAGGACTTGTGCAACATGTTCAGTAATTAATTTACTATAATTATATATTTTAAACAGTCCTTTTCATTACCATAACTACCACCAGTAAGATTATCAATATGAGAACACCAATGATGAGGGGTCTCAAAGATTTTAATAAATATCGTCCAATCAGGAAGCTGCACAGGTGAGCAGGGGCCGTTCATTTTTCTCTTTCTACGGCAAGCACATAGGCATTATTTAAAAGGTCTAGTGTAATTTAAGTTTTCAGAGTGATTCTTTCTTAAAAACAAAATCAAATTCAGGCTTTTTAACTTCAACACTCTTTTTCAATGCAAAGTGTGTATTGAAGTAAACTTTACCTAGCTGCCCTATTGTTATTACACTGTATGTACATCCTGTATCCTGCTGGTCTAACAGCTCTTTCTGTTTGCAAACGAAAGTCAAATATACGGCACAAGTAAGGTTCAAAAGAGCACGCGTAAAAAGCCTGGATCAGCACAATATGGAATCCTTCAAAAAGCAATTTACAGTTGAGATAACGTTACAGTAGAGGTGGGCAACATATCAATAAAACTAGTATCAGAACAAATGTTTTCAAGATACACAATATTGTATTGGCGTTTGTTGTAGCATGTTTTTATATATTTGAAATGACACCCATTCAGTACATTCTATTAGAAAATCAAACATAGAGACACTCTTTCAAAACATGCATACACTGCCGTTCCAACGGATCTCGACACTCAGATAGCAGGAAGACGAGAACAGGACGTCATTGCACAAAGGTTTTCTAATCATCAATTTGCCTCCTGACACCAAAACACTCGAGTGATGGTTTCTAGAAATGCAGCTAATCAGTATTCCATCAGCATTGAGCTTACTTATAAACTAATACATGAATAGAACCCAACACTCCAATATATTTTAACCATGAATATGTTATTAGTAAAAGTTTGGCGCAGCTACTAGCCTCTATGACTATGTTTTTTGTTATCTTGTTGTTTCCCAGCTGCTTCTTTTACTGTTTGGTTGGCAGTCACTATCATGGACGTTCAGTTTTGCTCCTGCCATTTCCTGCCAAGTTTTACCAGTGCTGGTAACTATAACATAAGCAAAAGGTCAATTTTGTATATTACGTTGACCTTAATCACGTCTAAACTGATGCATTCGATGATGTCCTCTTTCAATTAATTTCTTTCAAAAAGCCGGACCTTTCAAAGTGATCTCAAGCTTTTGAACGGCAGTGTAAGCAAAGTATGGATACCTACAATATATTCTATGAATACTTTTACTTCTTTGTTACATTCCACCATCGGAAATACTCCAAAAATAAACCAGGATACTCATGTTGGTCAATATGGCCCATCTCTACATCAACGTCACATCTGACATCAAGATTAGTCCTGTTTACTGTGCAGCGACGCTTTCACGCGCTTGCGCACATAGAAGACGGTGAGCGCCGAGCAGCAGTTGGTGAAGATGAAGAGCGCAATGGCGTCATGCGCTAGGTCGCCGTGAAGGCGCTCATACAGAGGTCTGCGCGCCGTAAAGTCCATGCGCAGCGCAGCGATCTGCACCAGTGTGGAGATCCCCATCAACACGTGGAATATCTGGTGCCCTTGCCCAATGAAGTCACACCTGCCCGTCAGCAGGCTCTCCGGGTGTGGGAAGGAAAAGAAGTATGCGCTGGCGATGAAAAACAAGGTGTGGTAGAAGTGGTAAGACACAGCCGGATCAACGCAGCTTGTCTCGTAGCAGCTGTATATGCGGTGAACCACGGGGCTGACGTCCAGGAAGTAGGCCAGCGTGCAAGGAACCAGTAGGCAGAGCTTGGTGGGGAACTTGGGCATATCCAGACTGGCATACCTCCCATAGCAACACCCGAAGCACGTCAGCCATGACAGAAAAGCTGCCGTGGGCAGATAGAAGCCACGGACCCTTGCGTGCCAGGCCTCCTCGATCACGTAGTAATAATGCGCCACTGCACAGCCGTACTGATACACAGCAACGCCATAGTAGTCCAAAAAGTAGAACGTGAAGAAGGACAGCTCGGATTTGGCACTCAAGAGATGGGCGAGCGCACTGAAGGAAAGTGTGACGAAGGCAGTGAGCAGGATTAAGAAGAGCGGCTGCGCATGAGGGTCGCGCAGGAAGTCCACGGTCTGGGAGATCTCCTGGCACTTGACTAGGACGATGAGGGCCGTGAGGAGATGGGTCCACACGTTGATGCTTTCATTGTGTCGTTGGAAGAGCGTAAGGAAGTAATAACGCCAGCTCTGCTCTGTCTGCCTGTAGCCCGTGAGGATGTAGCGCTCCTGTAAGGAAGATTAGCAAGGTTACAAATGATAGATTTCGGTTTATTCAGGGGTAAAAAATCTCTTCTCTAAAATACCAGATACCAAAATTCTAACTTTTTTTGTAGCAGTTGAGGTCAATGATTGATCGGTAACACTTAAAGTAATTCCATGTTCAAATGCAAGAATGGTCTGGAATCCAGCAGAAGCCTCTTAGTTTAATATCCGATTAAAGTAGAGTATTGTGATGGGTGACCTCTGGGAACACCTGTAACACTGTTGGTGTGTAATTTGCCAAGACACTTCACCTACTTTGCCGAATTCGAGTCTGGTGTGTGGGTGAATGGGGGTTGGAGGGGGTAATAGCACAAACTGGTTTCCTTTCATCTGTCAGTCTGCCTCCGGGCAGCTAAGGCTACAGTAGTAGTTTAGCACCACTGTGTATGAATTCATAGATTGCTTCGATCAAATAATATTGGTTAGCTGCTCTAATTAATATATCAATTATGTACAGTCAAGTCACATTAAAGAAGCTATACCCGATTTTTTTTCTAAGTAGTTCATAAAAATGCTTTTTACTACATACAAGTTGTATCATAATACATCATTTAATTGAAAACTTGAGGTAATTGATTCAGCTGTGTAAGAATTACAAGCAGTGAAAAGTGCTGAGTAGAGTCTGAGCGGGCCGCTCTTTCTCCTCCGCTCACAGAACGAGCAGCGAACAGCCTGCGTCCTCTAGCCTCTACAGCGCTGCTTAACACCAGGACTTCGACTTCAAAATTCGAATATAAATTCTAAAATAAAAAACGATGAACAAAATAATTGAATAAAAAAATGTGAACAAATATTAGACAACCCTTGTAATTCGAAATGTATTTAATGACTGCAAATAAAATAGTTAGCTCCCAAAGGTTTCACCGGGACGTGCTAGGCAGGTAACAGCTAAGCTAGCTAGTTGTTTCATGGTAACTTCCGGGTTTTTCGCAATCGCTTTTTGTCACTTTGAAACAGTATTTTTGTTATGAAAACGTTAACAGCAAATTCTGAAATCATCCGTGCATGTGTGTTAAGGATGTATATGTGTACTGTATTGTCCGATTGACGTTTAATGGTGTTGATTGATAGATATGTAGTTGTTTATTGAGCGTGGCTAGCTCCGCTAGCTCCGTTGGCTTCTCTACACAGACGAGTGTCTAGTGACAGGTGCTGATAGCTTGTTGTACTTGCAGAGTAATGGCAGTATTTTACACACCTGAATTACAAACAGAGATTGCATTGGGGCTTCGGTCATTATTGGTTTGAGAGTTCTGTTATCAAGAAAAAATTATCGGAAGAATTGCTGCTGCTGCTTTGAGGAGCTCTATAACAAATTATAATTCAATATTAGAATATATTCTAAGGTTTTAAATTAATACATTCGGACGCAAAACTAGCGGTATTCTTTTACTTATATATTGTGTTAGCAGTGCGTTGCTTTAGTGCCATTTCATCGGTGATTGTTGCACAGCTTACAAGAAGTTGCGCTAATGCTAATGTTAGCATATTTATCAGATCGCAAATAAAACTAGGTGGCTCTGTGTTATGAGAGCGTAGGGGAAATAAGAAGCCATTGAGCGAGTTGGGGGGCGGTGCTAAACATTCAAACATTGCAGAAACGGGTATAGCGCCTTTAATAATAGAATGAAGATGGGTCTCAGACTGACTAAGAGGCCCTAGATGAAGATGATGCGGGCCTCGTACCTGGAAGACCTTGGGCACGTCGGACAGCTTGACGGTGCAGGGAAGAGTGGGGAAGGCCGACTCCAGCAGCTGAGGGATCTGACGCAGCTGCTGCACGTTTATGAAGAGGCGGCCGATCTGCTCCATCACCACTGTGGCCATGTTGGACTGGAGCAAAGACAGAGAAGGTCACAATCCTGCAGTCTACAAGTGTGTGTGTCTGTGTGTCTGCGTGTGTGTATGTGCAGTCTACAAGTGTGTGTGTCTGTGTAATAGGGCACAATTAGCAGAACGCAAAACATTTCCATTCGTGTTCGAAACAGGGCCTTTCTGAGTGGAGTTTCCAGGTTCTCCCCGTGTCTGCGTAGGTTTCCTCCGGGTACTCCTGTTTCTCTTACCACTAAAAACATGTAAAATAGTTCAGGGTGAATGAATGTGTGTTTGTGAGTGCGAATGAAGGACAATCCGGAGTGATGTGTTCATTAACATGTAAACAGTAAATAAATTAAATTGGTAAAGACAAAATAACTGTAAAAAATAACGCAGACAACACAGAAGATTTGCCAATAAAATTAGCAATAAGACTTAAGTCAGTCGTATTGCAGTAGGACCAGTACAGTTTTTTCTTTTTTCATATTTTATGACCTAAATAAAATTAAATTTAGATAAAACAAGACCTGCTGTCCCTATTGTATTCTCAAATCTGCTATAATATATCATCTTCCAAGAATTTATTAAGTGCTATTTTACTGAAATGTGAGCAAATTAGTTTGTGTTTTATTCATTCCAAATGTGCTTCTTTACTCTTAAGAAAAAAACTAAACTTTTTCATCATATATTGACAATGTCAATGCTCTATAGTACAGAAAATTATCCCTTTTGAGGAATGTAATTAAAAAACACAAGTGTCATTCCCACTGATCAAAAACCCTGGGTTGCCTCTTCCTCACACAGAGAGCGACACATGCTGGTGCGTCAGAGCGATTCGCCATCGAACCCGCCTTGCAACTCTCCAATCAAATTTAGCGGTACACAAGTCACACAACGGACAATACTTTGTTTAATGACAGCTTAACAAGCAGTGTAACAAGAGTGAAGCTCTTACCATCATAAACATTATAAAGTGACATGTGAAGCGCCTTTGAGTGTCCAAAAAAGCGACATATAAAACCAATGCATTATTATTACTAGTAATATTATTATTATTATTATCAATATTATCAAGTGATCTCTGTCTTCCTGTGAGCACTGTGACTGACCAAGCATTTGACAAAAACAACGCTCAAGTGACTCCCCTGAGGAACATGAGAACTTGTTACGCATTGGGTTGTTTGATTAATAACACATTGCAAACACATTTCATTCTGTGTTGTGATTATTGCATTATCTGAGTCATAACATCTCTTACTTACTTACTAAATTAGTTATCAGCTATTACAGTTAGTATTTATCGTAGTGCATATCATTGAATATCATTTAGATTCATAATTTATGCACAATAACACTGGCATGGGTTCTGGAGTTCTGGGTTTTAGTTCTATATTGAGCCCTAAAACATATAGTTGCAGCTATAATGTGTTATTATTTTATACAATAAGTCAACACAGTAAGAGTCGAGCATGTCTGTGTGAGGATTAGATGAATAATGCTGCGTTAAGTACAATATAAAACTGATTTGTTCACATTATTACTGTGATATTGTCATTGAACGCAACACAATACTGCACGTACGGACTGCAAACATGCAAATAGTACACTTTCTGAAACAAATGCCTTCTGGTCACCCCAAACACAAACACTCACACATACAGCCATAACAAGAAGCCTCCACATTGCTCATCTTCATCATCCTCATCAGTGATACTAATGATGAAGCTTATTCATTTGACTCAAGGCCCCTGACAGACTGGACCAGAGGGCTCCAACCTCTTGTGGCCTCCACTATTGGAAAAGACCTTCAACTTTAAGCAGTTGGAAGAACTTAATTCACAATAATGGTGAGAAACCATGATCAGATATAAGATAATGCTAATATTGGTGTTTTGACTAACATAATCTGCCAACGGACAGAGCAAATAGTCGCTGCTCCTCTCCGAATAAAGTATATCTTTATATATTTATGAATAATTACTATTGCAATGGTCCTCCTTTTCTCGTGTCCAGCGCATATAGGCAAATGTTCTGGCCTGGGGTCGGAGTGAGGTTGACAATGCATAGACTTGTCCAATGTGGGTATATCATGTCCATCGTATAGATTAACAGATACATACATTAATACAATGCAGGCTTGCTGTGACAGAGATTACATAGGCTGCCTGTGTGGGGTGCAAAGGCCTGGCGCGTGGATGGTGAATGGGAGGACGTTACGTAACAGAACTCCATCCGCTGTCCACACCCAAGGCTTCAACTCCGTTGAATTATTTAATGGTAGAATATTGCGCGACTGTACAACGCCACCCTATTCATTTAGCCTACTCGATGGGTATGCAAATGCGCAGTGAAATAGCTCAATAGTCGGAGCTAAAGAGAACGTGTAGATTCAACGCGCGACCGGCTTTCAGTCATTTGTGCGCCTTTTTTGGGTTAGTATTATTGGACAGTCATAAAACAGAATGAATCCAATGATCCAACTCGAAATTTGGAAAGGCGAAACAAATGTGCGCCTTTTTGGCTTCGGATCGGAGGAGAACACCCGGTTATAGCGCGACACATCCCGGACTATGCCGTTATGATACACCGCCCATCATGATCATCATCCACACATGTGCCCTACCTTTACGCGCGGCTCAATCCAAGTACACGACTTCTTTTGGGGAGAATTGGTGAGGTTTGCGCGCAGACACGGGCATCATTGTTGGAAGAATGCAGGCTACATAAGACGGAGGCAGGTGGGAGGATACGAACGCGGGGTTTGAGTGACAGTCTGCGTTAGCCAATCGTCATGGCCAGCCATAGTGGTTTCGTATGTGGATCCGTGCCGTTTTGGCCAATTGTGGCCCGTTGTCTCCATCACGGTCCCGCCCACTAGAAAGGAGAATTCTTCCACTGTGACACTCAATGATGGCATGTCTATGTTAGATTAGCGCTATGGCCTGGGTGCTGCTTGCGAAATGCGGCGTTAGAAATCACACTAATTGATATCCCCTAAAGTCAGTATTCTAAATATTGGCTGCTTTTATTGCAATTTAGTCTGCAGGGTCTGTATTCTATGGGTGTTTTTAATAAACCCTAAATTCACCCTATCGTGTGTACTGTCCATCTATCCATCCATTTTCTTCCCCTTAAATTCCATATCTGGATCAGGGGGGTTTGAGTTACATCCAACTCACAGAGCACCAGCCCCTCACTGATCCTCCTGCAGATGGTGAGTCCACTGGAGCCTTGATCTTTCAGCGGGGGATTCAGGCAAAGTGGAGTTAAGTGTCTTGCCCAAGGACACAACGACAGCAGACATCAGTTGGAGTCATCGTGAAGTAGCTCTTGCGGTGGGCTCGAGCCCACGACCTTCGGGCCCCAAGGCCAATGCTCTAGAGCCACTGTCGCTCCACTATACAGCTATATGACCTTTAATTCCACGAATTTGCATCCATTGTCCCATATTCGCACTCACAAACTCACCCTGATCTATTGCACATGTTTTAGTGGTAGGGGAAACTGGAGTACCTGGAGGAAACCTACATAGACACGGGGAGAGCATACAAACTCCACTCAGAAAGGCCCTGTTCTGACCGGGATTTAAACCCAGAACCTTCTTGCCTAGAAGCCAGAGTGCTATCCACTCTCCCGCCCAAGTTTACATCATAGCTTGAAAGGGTTCAATATGTGACTATTATGGCTAAAGATGACTTCATTCTATTATTATATTATAAGGCTTACGTCAGGAGCAGTGGTCAGCGCCCGGGAACCCGTCTCCAGATGTTAATGCTCGGCTTTGTCAGGACTACCGGAGCTGGAGGACTTTACCTATGAGCATATTTTTAGTGGTAGGGGAAACCGGAACACCCGCAGGAAACCTACGCAGACACGGGGAGAACATGCAAACTCCACTTAGAAAGGCCCTGTTCCAACCGGGATTCGAATCCAGGACCTTCTTGCTGAGAGCCGAGAGTGCTATCCACTCAGCCACCATGCCGCGAAATGTCAGAGTTGCGTTGTAAGTTACAGACAGTAGGAATGAGTAGCACACAGAACAAGCAAAATTAATAACTCAATACTAAAATCTCTAAATCTAGCATGAAAACAACAAGCAGTATACAATCTTCATATTTAGCATAATAAGGAAAGATGTCTAAAAAGATTAGATGAAGACAGCATGTTGTGGTATGATTTGTTCACAAATGTTACTTAAACAATACTCTTTCTGTTGTGACAAACAAAATGCAGATACAAAACAAGTAAGTGAGATACTCCAGCCAGAATAAACAATGTGCAACACTTGGTTAGGGTTGGGCTAAGGGTTAGGGTTAGGTTTTAGGATTTGGGGCTAGGATTAAGGTTTAGGATTTAGGGTTTTGTCTTACGGTTAGGGTTTTGGCTTAATTTATACTTGATCATGATCATTTAAACTCTCCATGAGACGACAGGCGACAGATCCATATACAAACAGGATCAGCAAAGCCTTGTTAAATCCTGGTGTCTCATTTGGTTTTATTAACCCTCATTTCCCTATTGGTTAGATAGTCTCAACGAAGCTCAGATAGCAGAAAGTCAGTGCTACAGAGGGCTACTATGTCAGACCTAGATGTATTTCTTCTATATCCGCTGTATTGCATTGGTATATGAAAATTCCCCCAGCTCGCTATTTCCACTTTTCATGGGGACGACAAATAACGAGTAAAATTATTTTGTTTTACATATGATGGCGGTAGAGTCAGCCTAATATCATTGGACATGTTGATGTAAATAAATCAGCATTTTCCAAACAGGCTGCTCCAAACTCTGCGCATATGTGTGGGGTACAGCTGCACATGGACCACAATAGTGCCTTTCTGAACGATCACAATGAGCCACTGTCCATTCTGCTGTGAGAAATATCTGTTTGTATTTAAGACCTGTGTCCACGCTTGCTTCCAAAGAGCAGTATTCAGTGAATGTTTCGATTTGTTTTGTGTTCTTTTTTATTTTGATGAAAAACACTAGACAGAACATTACAAATAACACTCTCAACAGCCGACAACACAATAATAAGGTATAGCTTGGGGTTATATGGACAAGTTTGAACAGTTCAAAGCCGTTGAACAGGTTTAGAAATGTGACCTTACACTTGCTGTTGTAGGAGACTGGGGGGTGTGCGTATTATACAGTTTGTTTGTGTCTATAGAGGGACTTTCCTTTCAAGTCAATTTCTATTGCGCTCTACGTTTTTCAGAATAAAATATCTGTATACAATGACAAAGGGGGAAATAGAGGACTGGGGTACATCAACGCAAACCAGTTTCAGATATCTCTTTTCATAACACTCAAGATGCTTCACATGACATACATTTTCTCCATAAACAGAGGAGGTTAACTGCTACAGTAACCATGCCTGCCCCGGGCAAAGACAGACAGAAGTATTGCGACTACGCTGTGCCATCGGCCCCTAAACTAGGCCTGCTGTCAAACTAACAATTCAATGTTATTAGAATGTCATTGTAATTCTTTGATTCCTCCATTTCATTAAAAAAAGATTGCACTGGGAATATAAGTAATAGCATTAAATGTAATCTTTAGCCATAATAGTCAGGTATTGAAACCTTTCAAGCTATGATGTAAACTTGGGCGGCAGAGTGGCAAGGCCAGGCAAGGCAAGTTTATTTGTATAGCACAATTCATACACAAGGCAAATCAAAGTGCTGAACACAATAAGAAAGCATTAAAATCATAAATAATCACAGTGCATTAAAAAGAAAGATAATAAAAATATAAATATAAAATCCCTTGTTGTATGCACAGCTAAACAGAACTGTCTTTAACCTGGCTTTAAACATTGTCAGAGAGGAGGCCTGTCTCACATCTTCAGGAAGATTGTTCCAGATTTTAGCAGCATGAATCTGAAAAGCAGCCTCCCCATGTTTAGTTCTGACTCTGGGCACTAACAGGAGTCCAGTCCCTGTGCTCCTCAGAGTCCGGGTGGATAGCACTCTCGCTTCTCGGCAAGAAGGTTCTGGGTTTAAATCCCAGTCAGAACAGGGCCTTTCTGGGTGGAGTTTGCATGTTCTCCCCGTGTCTGCGTAGGCTTCCTCCAGGTACTCCAGTTTCCCCTACCACTAAAAACATGTGCAATAGATCAGGGTGAGTTTGTGAGTGCAAATATGGGACAATGGATGCAAATTAGCCCATGACTACAATCAAGAGAGATGTGTTCATTAAAATGTAATGTCCCAACCAAAAAGATAATACAAAAAATACTTAATGTCTTTACAGAGAAAATGGCAATGATTTTAAGGAAAGACATAATTTAGTTATTGTTTATTTGGTTGGGACAGTGCATGTTAAAGAACACACCTCTTCGGACTGTTGCCTTGTGCTTCATGATTTGCATCTGTTGGCCCAGTCTATGGTTTTCCCATAGTCACAGTCACAAACACACACTCATTTAAGTTTTTAGAGGTAGTGGAAACTTGAGCACCAGAGGAAACCTACTCAGACACGGGGAGAACATGCAACATTCACACAGAAAGCCCTTGTCTTGAGGTGGAATCAAATCCAGAACCTTCTAGCTGTGAAAAACCAACACTTATTGTTCCTTCCATCAAATAACTGAAAGATAAGTTCATACAGTTATATTCATGACATACCTAACTTCGACCACCACCATTCATACACACACACACACACACACAAACACACGCACACCAAAATCATACCAGTCTGGGTGAAGTGTCTTGCCCAAGGACACAACTGTTTGGGACTTTACAGCCTCAGGAAACTTTCACTGCGGAAACTGGTATTCTCAGAGGTCTCCCTCCCAGGACTAACCAAGGCCAGCCCTGCTTAGTTTACCTGTCTTTATATAATCTGTAACAACAGACCAGGATGGAAACAACTGTGTAATGTAATGGGTGATAAAAAAAAACAGACTCCAGGGATTTTTGAAACTTCCTTCATGTATGTGATTTGTATGTGTAGGACCTCATCCAACACCAACACTGCCGCCTCTGTCCATTCCAATCCAAGAAAACAGATCAAAGTTCTCACCTCATGAGCCCTGGATGCTGGAGTCCATGGAGAGGAATGAACGTCGTTTAACAGTTTTTTTTCTAAAGTGAAAAATCTGTCTAAAAGTGAAAATTATTTTGAAACTCCTGAAAAAAATGAATTATTAATATTCATACCAGGTATACAATAGGCTATAACATCATCAGTCTTTGTGGTAGTCCAAGTTAAACATATATTCAGACAAGATATTATTAAAATAATAAAAACAGACAAAACTACTCTTTCAAAGTCCTGAAGTATTAAGTCATTCATCTGTAATTTTATTGCGTTTTTCACAGACCAGTCACAAAACGCTTTACAAGTATAATTTGTTTGTTTGTTTATTTATTCATTTCAGGCATTTCACATGAGGCAGCAGTCACCTCTTGTTCATCATAGTTTCCAACAAAAAATAAAAATAAGTAAAGCATTGCTAACATGCATGAAATAATGCATGTTAATAATGCAAATAATAAAATGACAAAATCCTTAATAGATAACATGTTATCTTTTGCCGTTATTTGATGCTTTGAGCTGAGTCAGGGTGATCCTTTTTCCATTTTCTGTCTGAAAAAAGCTGATTTGAAGATGTGTAAATAGTACCTTTAAATTCCCTGTTGCATTTGTTGGCATTTATATATTTATTACTTTTCTGTGATATTTGTGGCATACTCCCAAACAGCCACAAGATGTCAGCAGAGGCCGTAGTTTCACCATTCACTCACAAACACGGTAATTTTCAGAACCTTTATTAGAAAATGATTGTACAGCATATAAAAACAGCACTGTTCCCACATTCAAACAAAACATACCTACAGTAATATAAGAACGAGCTGCCAAAGTGAAAGTGAAAGTAAAAGGAAGTCTGGTTGCACTAATTCTAAAACAAGCAGCTAACAGTGGAGGCCGACCGATGTGGGTGTTCCACAGAAAATGCCAATTCTTTTAAACATTTGTCTGGCCGGTTTTAAAGGCAGATTAAAAAAATGGAAATGGACCAATGGTGAAGATGTGTACCGAAGACTAAATATATATTAATTTATTTGATGAATTGTTTCTAATATCAGATAGGGTTCCGTGTGTGCAGTGAAATAAATGATGCTTTGACTAATGGCCATGGTTGCAGATAGTTGAAAAACAAAAAATATCGGCCCAATAAATCGGTCAGCTTCTACTTGTACTAACAGCATAAATGAACACAACAGGCAGTGCTGAACATATCATAAAAATATAGATATAAAAAAGCTCTTTGTAAATGTCAGAAAAGAAGCGCAAGTCAGTTGTCCTTGTCTTTGATCGCCTCCTTGTTCTTCCGCACCTCCTCCAGCTTCTTATCCTGTCAACATACAAATATTCAACATACAAACTAACATTTATTGTCCCGAAATAAGGTTGTGCGTGCGTTTTCTTCCAAATGATTTACAAATTTACTTAAAACTGGGCTATCTAACTGTTTTGTGACTTAATAATACATTTTGTTTGTCACTACAGAAAGAGTGGTGTAAAAGTAAAATGTTGTGAAAAAAATCGGACTACCATTTTACATAGAAAACACAAATTATCTATTAAATACTTTAACTATTTTATTCCAGAGTTAATTGTTAGTGCTTTTAAAAGTGAGGTACCACAGCCATAAATAAATAGTGAATACGCTGGTCCCTCGTTTATTGTGGGGGTTAAGTTCTAATAATAACCCACAATAAGCGAAATCCGCAAAGTACAGCAGGACTGAGAGCTACAGCAGAAGTATTCTGAAATAATCACACACAAGCCCCTAAACTTTTCTTCTTACTTCAAATAAAGGCAACTGTCATGATATTCTTATGGCTATATAACGCTGTTAGAATATACATGCGGCACATGAGGAGCAGGCAGTGAAAGAAAAGAGTTTAAATGGGGTAAATTGGTCCAGTTTTGAAGTTTTCGTACCATCTCCTTGAACTTCTCGCTGAGCGCTGCCATCTGAGCGTCCCGGTTCTCCTTGTTGGCCTCCATCTTTTGCATGAGTTTTTCCTGAGTGGCTTTGCTGAAGTTGCAGCTTTCCTCCATGGCCTTTTGGATCACCTCCTTCTCGTGTTCGCGCTTCTCAGCCAGATGCTTCAGCACTTCGGCCTGCTGACTCTAAAATACAGAAAATACAATACTCATAATTAATAAGAGTGGTCCAGGTGTATACAATTAGGCCAGCCTTAAAGTAGTGCGCCGTGTGAGTCCAAGTCACGGGAGGAGCACCTGTGTGTAACATTTTGTCATCATATAGGCTACACTTGAATATAAGCCGCAGGTTTTCATGTAAGGACTTAGCTGATAGACGGCCAAACTAAACAGATAGATGACAGTTTTAACTGGTCACAACTTGATTAATGACAAGGTGTTTTTCAGCATAACCGTTAGCTTACATGCTGATATTCATTCCAATGTATTTTGACAATAAACGAGTGTCCTATAGCTAATAAAACTTGATGCGGTCAAAACAACAAGTGCATGCACTTTTAACAACAGCCCATCTCTACCACAATAAAAAATACATATATATTGACCGCATCGTTATATAAGCTGCAGGGTTTTAAGCACTAGAAAAAAGTATAGGCTTTAGTCCGCCATTACAATTTCTTCTTATGTCTACATTATGTCAGAAATCGTTCATTTAATAAATGACAGATGGTATAATATACAGTGGTTTTGTTTCATTATTGCTAAATTCTGTTATGTATTATCTTATTTTATGTTATTTACGGTTTTATCAATAGCACAAAAAAAAAACATAGCTGACCTTGCGTCTTTCTTCGGCGGCCTCTAGTTTCCTCTGGATCTCATGGAGGGACGTCTCCTTCTTGGTCAGAGGGGACAGAGGGAAGTCTTTGGGCTCTGGGCTGGTGGGCGTCAGGATCACCTCGAAGGCCTGGCCTGAGGCGCGCTTGTCCAGAACCTTCACCTGAATATCTGTCATATGTAAAAACCCGTAAATTGAGTATGTAAATTGTAAATAGCGTTTTATTTTTTTTATGTCACGTCTGTATCTGTGGGTTCTACTGACCCCCCCTGCTCCAAGACACATTTCTCCTTTGGGAGACGACATAATATATACATCTGAATCTGAAATCTCCAGCCAAGGTTTACAACCAGAAGGAAGAATTTACTTTGTTTTGTTCTTCAAATATGAAAATGACTGGCAAACACAGACATGTGAGATATTTGTGGCAAGAGCTCTGGTGTGTGCTGTCTGGTGCACATAGTTTTTCCAACGAACCTTGAATCTAGACTTTAGTTACACTTGAGAAAATTTCCATATCAAATTAAGGCAATACTTTTGTTTCAAAAGGCAGAATACTGTGCTGAGTGTGATGTCATAGTGATACAATGACATCATACTACTCCAGAACTGAAACAGGTGATTTTAGACTAAAGGGGCGAAGTTACATGCTTTTTATCTTATTGTAGATGAATCTAAACCTAAGTCTGGGCCTATTTTTTGATGATTTTAACATGGTTAAAAGATTTAAGGCTGAGAATGTGTAATTTATCTAATGTATTATCCTGTAAATGATTTCATGACCCTGGACCTGCCCTGACATTATAGTATATAGTGTATATAGTATACTTGAGCTTCATCTGGGTCAAACTGAGATAAAATATTGTATAAACGTTCTAAACAACGAATCAATTAATCAAAAGATTAATCTGATTAATCTGATTAATCGTCACAATAATCGCTAGTTAGAGCACGAGGCATTGTTTTGTGTGTGAATGATTTAGTTTCTTTCCGGGTAAAACAAGCTAACATACCTCCAGAGTCCATCACTGCAGTTATATCTGTCGGCTCTCTAGAAAGGAAAAGAAAAGAATTAAACATTGGAAACAAAGTCTAGGCGAGCTCAGACCTACTGATACTATAAGGATGAGGGGGGTGCCATATTTTGCCATAATTGAACAGGATTGTGTTATTTAGAAAGTTTAGAATCGGATCAGCAGGCTCTGAAAGACACCCAGCCCTAGAGAGGATGAGGGCAAAACTGTATAAACGACACAATCGCCCACTTTCATCCACAGATCTGAAAACAAAATTCACAACGTGTTTCTATTCTAATATATGTGCATCTACTTTACAACCTGTGCTCTGTTCCGTTAAATACAATGTCTTAATAACAGTCCAAAACATGACATAACTTGCCAAAGAAAACTCCACTTCCAAATTGCTGCCGCTGGGCTTCTATAACTGTAATCAACTATTATGAGCACTACGTCATGGTGCAATATGTCTTCTACCAGAAATATCAAATGCATGCAATAACAAAAGGAAATTTTGATTTATTAGTTAGTTCTTAAGGCTTAAGACAAGACTTACTACAGTGAAGAGATTATATGACTTAGAATATGAGAATTCTATAAGGAAATGAAAATGTGTTTACATTTTCATGGTATTTATAATCAAACAACCCACAGTGTAATAATGTTACAAATGTGAAAAAATCCCAGATTCACTGACCTTTTGGATCAAAACAACTAGCCACTAACACGCTGTAATCTTAGTCAGAATGTGAATATAAGAGAATATAGGTTTATAATAAAGTAAAGCAAAAGCACTCAATGTTTTTAAGAATAGGGTGAACTGTGGCCATGAGGTGCGCTGTAACACGGTAATTACATAACTGCATATTGTTTGCGTATCTAAACGGATTTGATTGGAACGCACATGTGAAGTCTTATTTGAGTAAAATTATAGTTTTCATATTTCTGGAAAAAAAAAAAAAAAAGCTTACGCAATGGTGTCTGGTCACAAAACACGTGTCAATCTGTTTACAAACTGCTTTCAGAACTTAACTCAACAACAATGCAACTGTTAGTAAGTTATTGATGAATAAGTATTTGTGTATACTAAAAGTCTAGTGTTCGAATGTTGCAGTGGATCGAAAAGAAACCTGGAAAACTTGACTTTCTGGAGCTTTCAGAAGTCATGAAGAATGAGTGCGCACTGTAGGACGTGCAAAAACCTATTGTTCTCACCCGGGTTCAGCGTGCAGCTCCCAGCAGGGCAGTAGGAAGGCGCAGGATAAGGGCGCAGAAGTGTGCAGTGTGCAGAATGGAGGAGACAAAAGTGTGCAACAGCGGAAAGTGTTTATGAAGACAAGAGCGCCAAAGTGGAGCCCGCAGCCCGCGCGTCACTGCAGCGAGCTCTGCGATTGGACAGAAGCAGTCAAACCAGAGATCCGTGAGCCAATCCGGATCCGCGCTGGGGTTCAGGCGCGAGAGGGTGAGGATGATGATGGAGCTTCATCCTGGTTCCGTGTTTGTGTTGGAGGAGGACCATAGTTTCAAGTTAAAAACACACTCGAACAGGCTGGAGCATTTAACCTTGCAACCACATTTGAAAAACGACTAACTCGATCAGTCCTCAATCTGTGTTTACAAGATTTGTTTTCGTGTGTGTTCGTATGTGTGTGGGTGCGTGTGTGTGCGTACGTGCGTTTTTGTGTATTTATTTGATTAATTATTGATGTATTTTTTCAATTAACAAAAAGTAAAACATAAACAGCATCATTGTTTGTTGATATTACCAATTACTCTTTTGATGTTTTAATTTCATGCAGAAGAATCAATAAAAGATGCAGTACTACGTCAAACTTTGGGGAAAATAATTATGTTATAGCTTAGAATAGAGCATTGGATGTCCCCTATACATCTCTGTACTCCCACACTACTGTAACGGCATAATTAAAAGTCCATACAAGCACCGATATTTGAGGCTTTTACTTTGAAAGAAAAGTATTTTGTTTTGAAATCCCGAGCGCAAGTTCAGCTATTGTACTTCCTGCTTAGACCCGGAAGAGTGCAGTCTGGATCAGATCTGTGGCTGTTTACTTTACTGTTACGCTTACATTATAAGAAGAAAACCATGGGAGCTTGTATGGCTCTGTGCTCCTTAGCGAGCTGTGTAAGTACATTTACGAGTATTTGTTTTCCAGCTGTTAGTTTTGTTTTATTTGACGTGTTTACGTGAGGAGAAAAACGATACTCCTTTGTAATAACAGTTTAATGCTCGCTAACGTTTTCATTGTTAACTATCGATTCCATTGTTATAATTACACCTCCTAATGTTTTTTGAATAATACACACTTTATTAAGTTTGATGAATAGATCTAACGTTTATGGTCCGATCCATGGATGTATCATATGACCGGTCAGTCCCACACACCGCCTGTTGTCACTATCAATGACATCATCGTTGGTATTAAAGCTTGGGCAACATTTATTCTTTTACAACATCAACAATATTGGTGATAGCTCTATTGTGCTCACCTTAAATGGGATTAATTTACTTGATAGAAAATGTAATAATCACCATATCCGTCAAATGTTTCAAAATTATAAAAAAATCACTCCTAGGTGTAATTTTTTTTGGAACTCCTTAATAGAGGAAATAGACTGAAAGAAAACTTGGCTATTGCCATATAAATACTGTATAACAAACAAAATGAAGGAAGTTTATTTTAAGATTTCATAAAATCTACCCAACGCGGTTGTCTCAAGGTTTGCAGATGTTGATAAAAACTCTGCATTCTGTCAAACACTGGAAGAAACTCTCGAGCACTTGTTTTTCATTGACATAACATTGTCAAAAATTGTCCAATGAGTCATTGTTTTACATGTAAAGATATTATCTTTTATTTTGAAGATAACACAACCACGAAATTCTGTTTGGTAAATTTTTTATTCACAAGCGAAAAAAATTGAAATCACAGTTGTATTTCCCCCATTTTTAAGTGATGTAAAAAATGTAATGAACTCACTGCAGTATGTATTGAATAAGAAAAGCAAACGACTCCAAGACCGTTACAAAAACTTCTTTAATGAAACCCCCTGACACGAACTGAATGAACTTTTTTGGTTTATTAATTTATTTTTATTTTATAGTATTGTGTTGTTTTGATATGAGCTCTCTATTTTCAGATGTCTCGTCTTTGACGATTGTTGTAAATTGAAAATAATAAAATTTTGAAAAAACAAAAAATAAATAAAAAACTAATGTTCTTTTAAAAATCATACATATTGCTTTTCCTAATAGAAAGAGTCTTGCAAAAGTAAACTCATATTCATACCATGTTCTTGTCTGATTTTGCATGAGAACGAGCACTGTCCCTGGGAAACAGCGACGTCTGTTCACCCAACAATAATATCACCAGCCATAAGCCAACACAGAGTTACAGAGTATTTATAAGAATGATTAATGTACTGCTGCTGAATGCAGAGCCAGTAAAGTGGTCAAATGATGTATCACCGGTAAAGGATAAGTGTACTCACTGCTACAATCCTGAGTTTTTATGACTTTGTAAGCCTGTGGCTAAGGGCAATGACACTTGATTGACACTGGACTGTGATCACACCATCTTTATGGTGTTTTGTGTTTTCAAGTAAGTAAGTAATCTCTATTTATCTAGCGCCTTTGACAGACCAGAGTCACAAAGCGCGTTTACGATTGTGGGCATTTCTTTGTCACCCCATACGGAGATGGGAGAGAGTGTGACCAGAGCAACCGGAGAAAAACCTACACAGACACAGCGAGAAAAGAAACACCACTATTTAACAGCATTTGGAAACATAAATCAGCTCTCCGCTCTTTAACGTTCAACAATTGAACTTCTACAATTTTGGGCTAATGTCTCACAGTTGTTAATAATAGATTCAGAGGTTAAAAAGGCATCAGGTAAAATCTGCAGATTCAGAGCTTAAAACAAGGTCTATATTTGCAGTAGGGGTGTGATACTTTCTCCCGCGATTCGATTATCGATATGCATTTGCCAAGTATCAATATCGATTTAGAAAAAAATATATATATTACCATATTTTTTTAAAAATTGGTATCAATACTTAATATATGGCTACATTATGCACCTCCATTCCATTTATCATGAAATAAAGTGTTTTTTCTTTTATTTATGCCATAAATTGGCATATTGTAAATTTCTGACCAATATATCATGATATCGTGATAAAATCGTTATCGTGATATCGTTATCGAGATATTATTGTTATCGTGAGCTTTGTATCGTGTATCGTATCGTATCTTGAGGTACCCTTAGGTTTCCACCCCTAATTTGCAGGGATAAAGTTTGACTAATTTGCTTGTGGCTGAGTAGAGGCAGTGACATTTATTGACTAGTAAATAAAATGGTACAATCTTGGAGGATTGCGATATATCATCAGACTTGAGATTGAATCTGCAAAACCAATAAATCAGTTGGTGCCTAAAATGATCTGATTAGTGTGTTCATATTGTTATCAGTGTCATTTCCAATAAGATAAGGTAAGATAATTTTTTTTTTGATGAGATGAAACTTCATTAATCTCAGAATGGAGAAATGTACAAAAATATGAAGTACATGGTGTTCTTAAAAACTTCAATAAAATGGAAACAAATTTACAAAGTCAAGAATAAGCAAACATACAGAAATCCATGCAAAAAGTTAAAAAAAACCAAAACATAATGGCTTTAACTTTGCTCACAATGTGCTCAAATAAACACAAAATACAAATAAATGATGAAAGTACAGTGCTTGAATGTTAAAACTCCCCAGCTGAAATCTCTAAAAATGTATAGAACACAAAAAAACGTATAAAAACTTACAAATAAATGGGTTTTTAAATAATAATGAGTTTAGAAACACCTCTTCTGACCCTGATCAGAAGTCTCCATCTCCCAGTTCTCAAAATCATGTATTAACATCTTTGACAGCTTGAAGTCTTTTGTGGTAGTTTTGGATGAGGTTCTATATCCTCTCAGGTAAAGCTGCCAATTCTTCTTGGCAAACATATCGGCTCTATGATGTCATCATGCAAAAATAGAAACCACACAGCCATGAACGATGAGTGGGAGAAAAGAGTTATTATCATTCATAATCTAAAATATGACCAAAACAATTCATTCACTTAGATTCGATTGAACGGGGGTGAATTTCTCAGCAGTTGTTCCGATGACGGTGAGCTGAAAATCCCACTAATGATGGCGCCCCTGTTCTCCACAGGCCTCGTGTCTGTGTGGATCTGCCCCGTGCCTCCTCTGCGGCTGCTGTCCCTCCTCCAACAACTCCACCATCACGCGCCTCGTCTACTCCCTCTTTCTGCTGCTGGGAACCATGGTGTCCGTGATCATGATCCTGCCTGGGATGGAGACACACCTGCGCAAAGTCAGTCTGTGGTGGTCCTGGGAGGGGAGGGAACGTGTGATCATCTGTGTTATCTGACACAGGTTCACAGTACACCTGCTTCAAGGACGTGCAGTCAGGGGAGGCAGAGTCTCATCTGCCATCATAGAAATACTTTATTATCGCACAGATGGAGAAATTAGTTGTTTTATTTTACTATTTCAGTTATATAGCCACTGTCCTATGCTTTGAAAGAATTTTTGGTGCGGTTCTGACCAGTTTTTATAATTTCTGGAATAAATATAGCTTAAATCCAGTTTTTTCCTATTCAAGGAGACAAGGTGAGACAGCGCACAGCCCAGCCCAGATCGCTCGCTCCGTCCCAGTGGACTGTGCGAGTGCTCTCGGCTCGTGCTGATAGTCATTTTGCTGTTTGTTTCTAATATCCTGCTTTGAAAACATTTATTAAACTTGTCATAGTGTCAAGTAATGCATGGAACGCATGTATGTACTAATTATAATTAGTTTCTTTTGATTAAAGAAAAAAAAAACAGAGGAAAAAACTTGCCTTGAGGCAGGCAGTATCTGTGCCTCATCGATGGGTGCGATAGTGAGCCTGAACGTCATACCCGAGCTGCTAACAAACAATCGGTGCTTTTTCTTTTGCTGGAAAATGGATGAATGGATTGAAGCTTTTTTTCTAAACTGGACTTTCAGTCAAAGCACGAAGTATAAGAAGGAAGGAACTAGCAATTTTAGTGTTTGTAAATCTTGGTGTTTCTGCGTACTCGCGTCCCATCATCTCCAAATTTCAATAAAGTCTTCCTACCGCCATTCACCATACATACCACATTACAGCTCAATCCATCCAGTAGTTGTTTCACAATCCTGTTATAGACTTGCACTCACACACAGACACACACACACACACACACACACAATGACTTTCATTATTTTTACTTCACATGAGAAAACAACACCATAGTTGACAACATTTTGGAGTGCAGCAAAGAATATATTTCTACAAACAATGGGCCTCATTCACGAATAACTTCGTAAGAAACTACTCAACTTTCTTCTCAAGTTGTCCTTAAGTAGATTTCTAAGAAGTCCCCACGTGGGATTCATCAACGCGCTCGAAAGCCGCTGAGACCAGCGCTGAGACCAATGCAGACCCGAGGAGAGACTGGAGTGACCAGCACACAGAAACCAGCGCGGACAGAAGAGACCGCATAGACTGTAGTGACCTGACTGGAGAGACCGGTGCGCAGAGACCGCATAGACCAGACTTGAGAGACCAGCGCGGACCCGTATGGATCCAGGAGCATGCAGCACGGACCCGTATGGAGAGACCAGTGCAGACCCGTCTAGAGCCATGGGAGAGACCAGTGCAGACCAGTATAGATCTATGGGAGAGACCAGCGCAGAGACTCAGCGCGGACCCCGTAACCTCCTGCAGCAGCAGTATATATGCCGTTGTTCTGTGGCCCGTGGATAAAGAAATGCCCCCTATAAATAGGAAGGGGTCACTAATACACGGCAAGATTTCCAATTTATTTGATAAAGCGTTGGCACATTTAATTTCAAAATGAATTAAAAAGTAGGCCAGATCTGCAGTGAAAAAGGCGGTATATAAATAATAATGTTTCAGAGCCCAAACTGTGGTAATCTCACAGTTTAAGAGGTGGACCAATGCGACTATTACACAGTTTTCTGAGAGAGTGGGTTGACTGAAACATGCTGATAAGAGGTTTTATTTTCTCAGATAATTCCAGAATGGCCGCAGAATGAACTGAATATGTGTTTACAAAGTATTTCAAAAAACCCAATGTGTAACAAGCCATCTCCATGACTATGTTCTCAAGGGCATAACTGGAGCTTTGTTTTGGTCAAATGTAGAACAAAATCCCACCTTTCATGATTTAAACCTAAATCTTTTTTAAATGTACATATTTTTTTCTATATGCAATATTTTGTAGGTTATGGGTGTATTATGTGTGTATATACACTCACCGGCCACTTGTAGCAGTAGAAATCAAGACTCATCAAACCAGGCAACTTTTTCCAATCTTCTATTGTCCAATTTTGGTGAGCCTGTGCAAATTGTAGCCTCAGTTTCCTGCTTTTAGCTGACAGGAGTGGCACCCGGTGTGGTCTTCTGCTGCTGTAACCCATCTGCCTCAAGGTTTGGCAAGTTTTGTGTTCAGAGAGGCTTTCTTGCACACCTTGATTGTAACGAGTGGTTATTTGAGTTACTGTTGCCTTTCCATCAGCTCCAACCAGTTTGGCCATTCACCTCTGACCTCTGGCATCAACGAGGCATTTCCGTCCACCGAACTGCCGCTCACTGGATATTTTCTCTTTAGGGTTTACAGAGAATGGTACAATAGAGATGGTTGTGTGTGGAAATCTCAGTAGATCAGAGGTTTCTGAAATACGCAGCCCTTTTGGCACAACAACCATGCCACATTCAAAGTCACTTAAATCACCTTTCTACCCCATTCTGATGCTCTGTTTGAACTGCAGCTGATCTTCTTGACCATGTCTACATTCCTAAATGCATTGAGTTACTGCCATGTTATTGGCTGATCAGGAATTTACATTAAAGTGGAGTTGGCCTCTAATAAAGTGGCCGGTGAGCGTATTATAATTTTTATTATTATTACTATTATTATTATATTGTATTGTGTAACGATGAATATACCAATAATAAAATAATAATGATAATGATCGGCCAACTAATCGAATAATGAAATAATGGTTCATCACAGCCCTACCAGTATCATATTAATGCATCCCTCATGGGGCTTTTTAATATGATGTCAAATCGGTACTGAGTCTGGTTCTTTCATCGATTCTTCTGATGCATTTGAACCCTGACTAACACTCTGTTCCCTTGTAGATCCCAGGCTTCTGCCAGGGCGGGGCCAGTATCCCGATCCCCGGTCTGGAGAATCAGGTGGACTGTGACGTGATCGTTGGCTACAAGTCTGTTTACCGCATGTGTTTCTCCATGACCTGCTTCTTCTTCCTGTTCTGTGCCATCATGATCCGTGTGCGCAGCAGCAAAGACCCTCGAGCAGCTCTTCAGAACGGGTGAAAGCTCTCTCTTTATTACATTTATGGGTGATTTTCTTATTACGGGACAAATGTAGTGTTCAATTTGTAGTATAACTTATACTGCCATAACCTGGTCTTACCACACCATCACACTCATTTAATTTTGTACTTGGTCTGGACTTGCTCATTAGATCTACGTTAACAGGTGGGAGGGGTTAAATATTTTTGAGTTTGCTGTTATGTAGGTAATGCGCCCGAATGTGTGATGCATTTAGCATTTAGCATTTAGCCTAGTCATCTCCTTTGCAACTGACGGAGCCAGTGGGGAGTAGAGCCACAACATCTTTACCACCAATAAAACTTGCTGAACATTTTTCTTGTTCCAGCTTTAATTTCTATGTATTTGGGAGGCGAACCAGAATGAATTACTTTACTATCGCATTTGCCATCATTGCCAAACAATTGCAAAAAATTCACAACCAGCAAATTTTGCCCAAACTCTTAACGTCACCGACACCTACCTACAACACCCGCCTCCCCCGCTCGCTGAATGGCTGGAAGGGATACAACCGAGGTAAATGCAGCCACTAGGATCCTCAGACCCAGATGTACATGTAAGGAAATAATTATTGACGGGAGTTTATGGATGGCTATGGCCAGGCTAATACTGCCAGAAATGTTTTTAGATTTTGGTTGCAAGGGTAGGTGTACCCGTAAGAAAACATACAGATAAACAGCAGTGCTTAGTTATTTCACGCATTTGAAATGTCTTCACTCTGTGCCACATGGTTGAGCAGAGAAAGATTTGAACTTGAAGGCCCAAATTCACATTAAAGTTTGAATTGTATTGTTCTACATTATCTGAAGAAGTTATGGATGCTAACAAAGTGGAGTTTGAATAGTATACTCACTCATGGATGTTACAACTGTCAAAAAGATCAAACAAACATTTTGGCCTTGACCTTTTTCCCTAGTTCCAAAGCTTCTCAATAGGGGGAGTGCTAGAGCAGTTGGTATTGGTGACAGAATGGAGAATAATCTACGAATATCAATTTTAGCTTGAATTAAAAATATTTCACCACTTCATGTCTAAAATCAACAAACAGGAATGTTGAATACGCATTACTTATTAAATAGAAATTATTTGACAAATGTTCAAATAATGAAGATTTTGTTTATGATGTTTCAAAAACTGTAGGTATTGTAATACAAATTGATTTTCTGTATTGACTGATGATACTGACTAAATACAATTATATATAAAATCAGCTGCATTAAACTGTAGATTGTGGCCATGAATGTCAGAAAATCACCCTTATAGAGTCCATCTGCTTCAACAGTTTTTGTGTTTGTGTTTTAGGTTTTGGTTCTTCAAATTCCTCATTCTTATCGGGATTACAGTGGGAGCCTTTTTCATCCCCGATGGAACTTTTAACACAGGTACTTTTAGCAGGATAATGTATTTAGTTACAGAATATATTGAATTCAAAACATATTTTTATTAGGGCTGAAAGATAAATCGTATCATACTCATACTGAATCCTGAACATCGTATCAATATCAAGATCTGAACATTTTTGATAACGAAAAAGCAACAACATAAAGGATACTGACTTCCCTCACACTCGCCAGTTGCACTAAACATGTATTTCATACCGTTGATTGACAGCTGAGGCAACCAAGAACAAACCCAGAAGGGCGGAAGCTTTTCTGAAAAATGCCTGTAATTATAATATATCGATATAAAGATCTGGCATGGATATTGAGATTTAACATTTCGTGTGGTTCAGCCCAAATGCTCATACACAGGTGTGGTTCTTGGATCATAGAAGGCTTATAATATAATATAATGCCTGGTGTAGGGTGAGCAGAGGCTGATTTGTGCTGTTGTGAGTTTGTAATTGTTCGTGGCATAAATAAAGTCTGTTTGTACAAATGCATCCATCATAGGATGCAATATGAATCACGCCACTTTAAAACTAAATTGCCTGATCTAATATTAAAAAACAGAGATTAGCAAACGTTTTCATCCAGAAAGGGAAAAGAAGCGGCTTGAGACCAAAGTGGAGTACTTAGATTTAAGACATGAGAAAGCGATACATTTGTCGTACAGACTGAAAAAGTTCCACTTTGTTGTTGTCATTTCAGTAATTGAAACAAATACAAGAAATATAGCTTCAAACATTTCACTATGGGAAGCAAGCCCATATTATTTTAAACTTCGGGATATATTGTGTAGATATATTATCTAGTTAAACTAGTTCATTCAAATAGTCTACAGTATCACTGTTCATATTCATTTGATCTTAGAAAGATAAGATCTGTATTGTGTGATCTGAATTCTGAATAACATCTTCACAAATACACTGCCTAAAAAACTTTGAATATTCTCTGTACGTGTACATCTATCTAGATGTCACTTTCCACCACGGTTTATATGGTACATCTTAGAAGCACAGTTCTGTATGGATTCTTAAATCACTCTTCTTTGTGTTTGCAGTTTGGTTTTACTTTGGTGCTGCGGGCTCCTTTATATTCATCCTGATCCAACTCATTCTGCTCATTGACTTTGCTCATTCCTGGAACAAGATCTGGGTTGACAATGCAGAGGACGGAAATAACAAGGGGTGGTACGCAGGTGGGAATCCTGTCTGTATTTCTTCATTAAAGGGAATCTGTGGGTGTGTAGTGTTACAGACACACATGTTATATCATTGTTCTTCAACAGAATTCTGCCACACCGTCACAAACATGTCCCTCTGCCCGTTTTCAAACTTGTTACACTCTGACCAATGCTCACACAATGAAGTCATGACAGAGGTTTTAAAGGGGACATAACATAATGTGTTTATTCTAAACACAAATTTGAAACTCACCTTTCAACCTAGTCTTTTTGCAGAGTCGTAATTTCATCAGTAATTCCATCAGTGATTAGTTACTAATGCTAATGTTTGCATGCCTATCAGGGTAGGAGAGCGTAGGGGAGAGTAGGAGGGTTTCTCAAAATGAGAAGTCTGTGAAGGAGTTTGGGGGGCTGTGCTAAACATTCAAACCTTGCAGAATCGGGTATGTCTCCTTTAACTTACATCAAAGCAAATAGTAATGTTGTGTACCGCTATTTTCATGTTCCCAGATGTCTAATGTATCTAATATGTATGGGGATAAGCTTTAGAGCATATTTTATCGAGCCAGCAGGTGGCAGCAGCGCTGCGTCTGGATGTTTTGAAAACAAGAAGCACTTGCGCCTCTTTTTTTCTCAGCTTTTTGGTGATTTCAGTAAAACTTCCCTCTATTTGACTGGGGAGGATTACAGGGGAACGAAACAAGCTAGAAACAAAATTCTTTTTGCTGATGAAAGTAGACAGTCCATTCTTTCAGAATGAAATCGGATTTCAGAAAGTCATAGTACACAATATTTTGTAGGTTTTGAAAAATCCATAAAAAACCATCAGAAACGGCTGGCAATATGGGACTACTGTACCTGTTCTGAAATAGGCTGGCATGCAATGAGTTAAAATGAGTTAAAAAATTTAGTTTTTTACCTCAGTTTATTTTATAACACTGCATGCATGTTATTTATATTTTCTTATACCTGAGACGACCCTGCTCCCTCAGGCTCCTCTGACAGCCTTGATCAGCAGTGGAGCAGGCCTTTGATGGTTTCACTGGTAAACCTCCAAACTCTACCAACACCACAGATCTTCTCATGTCTATGGGCTCCAGTCAGTTCAGTCCGACCTACAAACAAACAGAAACACACAGTGCTTATCAATTGTTGGCGGAGTAATAATGATGTCATAGATTGCACTTAATTGCAGACAGAATAGCTTCTTGAAAGTTGAGTTGAATCTATTATTTTATTTTCAAACCTGCCTTTAATTTTATTGCGTTAGTCTAGATTTTACTCAATCAACTCTGTGACTGGGTAAGAGTCTTGGACATACGTGTTAAATCATCTTCTTGTATTCACCGTGTTTTAGGTCTCAAAAAGAGTTGTGAGGTCAGTCAATGTGACTTAATTTTCATAAAGGTTGTATTGTAAGTCTCCATGTGTGTGTTTCCAGCGCTGCTGTTCTTCACTGTCCTGAACTATGCCCTGGCCATCACGGCAGTGGTGTTGTTCTATGTTTACTACACCCAACCCCACGACTGCACCGAGCACAAAGTCTTCATCAGCCTCAACCTCATCTTCTGCATCATCATCTCTGTGGTGTCCATCCTGCCCAAGGTCCAGGTCTGTGCACAGCTGATGGAAGCACTCACATTTCTAGACAACATGATAACGGCTCACAACATTGTTTTTACTGAATGTACTTATTCAGACCTCCAAAGACTCTGATTGATTCTCAATTGAAAAGACACACAAGGCACAGAAAAAATTGGACGTTACATGTGTATGTCAGACTGGAGATTTTCTGACACCACAATGCACAGTTCCTGACCAAGCAGTCCATAAATATCTGAATAATCATTCCTGTAATGGAGCTCTTTGTCGAGGTCTGCAATCTACGAGTAAACCTGAAACTATGTTTACTGTCTACAAAATAACAAAGTTAGCTGCTTCTGACTTCTTCTTTTACCAAATGTTGCTTTGTTTGACTGTTGCAGGAGGCACAGCCACACTCTGGTTTGCTGCAGGCATCCATCATCTCTCTGTACACCATGTATGTCACCTGGTCTGCCATGACCAACAACCCCAGTGAGTGCTTCTGCTGTCTACATATGATTTACTAATGAACTACATTACTTTGGTTGTACAACAAGAACTGCCACTCACCTTCTGATAATAGTTGGCCAGTCATTTACTAGTCACTAGTCACTTTCTCCGCTGCTAAAGTACAATATACACATCTGTAAATACCTCTGAACCAAGTGCAATTATACTGTAGCTCCATTAAATTTGGTTCGAATCCCGGTCGGAACAGGGCCTTTCTGAGTGGAGTTTCCATGTTCTCCCCATGTCTGCGTAGGTTTCCTCCGGGTGCTCTGGTTTCCCCTACCACTAAAAACATGACATAGGTATGAATGTAAATGAGAGAGTGAATGGATGGTGTTGGTTGGAGGTTTTGATGGTCCAGTGTGTTCAGCGACTCGCTTCCGTCATCACCGTGTGTGGAATGATTGGAACAATATCTGAACTCTGAACATTGTAAAGCGCTTTGGGTGACCTTGGTCTGTAAAATGCGCTATATAAATGAACATTACTTACTCACTCAGTTTTATTTTATTCTATTTTATAATCTATTACTTATTATTTTTATTTTATTATCTATTATCTTAAGTAATAGATCCTGTTTGATGTGTGCAATCTGAGTGCTCTTAATTTCTTCTTTTATTCTGCTGTAATCTGCGCAACAATGACACAAATTTCCCCACTGTGGGACGAATAAAGAATTATCTCATATTATCTTATTTTACATCAGAATCATTTATAAATGGCCACACAATAAACTGGTGGAGTTTGTGGGCATTCACATCTAGGATGGGTTGAATGAATGGCAGTGGGAAAGAAGCTGTTTTTGAAGAGATGGACCTGTAGCACCTCCCAGACGACATGCGTGAGAACAGAGGTCTGTCTGTCTCTCTGTCTGTCTGTCTGTCTGTCTGTGATTCTGCGTCTGTCTGTCTGTCTGTGATTCTGCGTGTGTCTGTCTGTCTGTCTGTCTGTGATTCTGCGTGTGTCTGTCTGTGTGTCGGTCTGTCTGTGATTCTGCGTGTGTCTGTCTGTCTGTGTGTCTGTCTGTCTGTGATTCTGCATGTGTCTGTCTGTCTGTGATTCTGCGTGTGTCTGTCTGTCTGTCTGTGGTGATTCTGCGTGTGTCTGTCTGTCTGTCTGTGTGTCTGTCTGTCTGTGATTCTGCGTGTGTCTGTCTGTCTGTGTGTCTGTCTGTCTGTGATTCTGCGTGTGTCTGTCTGTCTGTCTGTGTGTCTGTCTGTCTGTGATTCTGCGTGTGTCTGTCTGTCTGTGATTCTGCGTGTGTCTGTCTGTCTGTCTGTCTGTGGTGATTCTGCGTGTGTCTGTCTGTCTGTCTGTGATTCTGCGTGTGTCTGTCTGTGTGTCTGTCTGTCTGTGATTCTGCGTGTGTCTATCTGTCTGTGATTCTGCCTGTATCTGTCTGTCTGTGATTCTGCGTGTGTCTGTCTGTCTGTCTATGGTGATTCTGCGTGTGTCTGTCTGTCTGTCTGTGGTGATTCTGCGTGTGTCTGTCTGTCTGTCTGTGGTGTTTCTGCGTGTGTCTGTCTGTCTGTCTGTCTGTCTGTGATTGTGCGTGTGTCTGTCTGTCTGTCTGTGGTGATTCTGCGTGTGTCTGTCTGTCTGTCTGTCTGTGGTGATTCTGCGTGTGTCTGTCTGTCTGTCTGTCTGTCTGTTTGTGGTGATTCTGCGTGTGTCTGTCTGTCTGTCTGTGGTGATTCTGCGTGTGTCTGTCTGTCTGTCTGTCTGTGGTGATTCTGCGTGTGTCTGTCTGTCTGTGGTGATTCTGCGTGTGTCTGTCTGTCTGTCTATGGTGATTCTGCGTGTGTCTGTCTGTCTGTCTGTGGTGATTCTGCGTGTGTCTGTCTGTCTGTCTGTGGTGTTTCTGCGTGTGTCTGTCTGTCTGTCTGTCTGTCTGTGATTGTGCGTGTGTCTGTCTGTCTGTCTGTGGTGATTCTGCGTGTGTCTGTCTGTCTGTCTGTCTGTGGTGATTCTGCGTGTGTCTGTCTGTCTGTCTGTCTGTCTGTTTGTGGTGATTCTGCGTGTGTCTGTCTGTCTGTCTGTGGTGATTCTGCGTGTGTCTGTCTGTCTGTCTGTCTGTGGTGATTCTGCGTGTGTCTGTCTGTCTGTGGTGATTCTGCGTGTGTCTGTCTGTCTGTCTGTCTGTGGTGATTCTGCGTGTGTCTGTCTGTCTGTGGTGATTCTGCGTGTGTCTGTCTGTCTGTCTGTGGTGATTCTGCGTCTGTCTGTCTGTCTGTGGTGATTCTGCGTCTGTCTGTCTGTCTGTCTGTCTGTCTGTGATGATTCTGCTTGTGTGTGTGTCTGAGGTGATTCTGCTTGTGTGTGTGTCTGTGGTGATTCTGCGTCTGTCTGTCTGTCTGCCTGTCTGTCTGAGGTGATTCTGCTTGTGTGTGTGTCTGAGGTGATTCTGCGTACGCACTATGTAATGCGTCTATTTTACAGTGTGTCCAGAGATCTTGGATGCTTTTTTTTATGATAAGTTGAAGTTTGTTGCAAGAGTGAGAATCCAAGTTACCAAACCAGACTAATATTGACGAGGCAAGAATGCTTTCAATTATGCTGTGTATAGAATTTTGTGAGTTTTGTTTATGATGTCATAGTCTCCACATGTTTGCTCCCCATAGATCGCCAGTGTAACCCGAGTCTCCTGAGCCTCATGTCCAACAGCAGCTCCACCGTAGCACCTGGAGACTCTCCTGATGACTCCTCTGAGCATGTGCAGTGGTGGGACGCTCAGGGCATCGTGGGCCTGATCATTTTCATCTTCTGTACTCTCTATGCCAGGTGCAACACACTCTCAAGTTTCTTTAATAAACTTACACTTACAGAGGGTTTGAAATTACTTCAATTCTTTAGATTTTATTTTAAGTAAATTACGACAAATTTAGTGCTATTTTCTTGAATATTTGACTTGCTTTTGACCATTTTCAAGATTTCTATGGACTTTTAGTATGTTGTTCTGGACATCTCATAGATTTGATTTAAGGTGAAAAAAATACTGTTAGGTAACATAAGGTAATGTGTTTGGCCTAATAATTCATACTGTGATTAGACACAATAGAAGACAATATTGATATGAATAAGAGAGTTATAGAATGGTGAGTGGTGAGTTAGCAATGAAAGTGGATGGGGTCCAAACTGGAGCCATCACTATATTCTACAGTCTTTGCTTTAAACCAGTGAAATATACTCGAGATCCATCCAACCTCATCATAAATACAGATCTCTGTAATCATGTCATGAAGTCATTTTAAGCCTGAGTTGTTTCCGGAGCTGCAGTAACCCTCTAACCTCCTGTATCCCTCTCCTCCCTCAGCATCCGCTCGTCCAGTAACAAGCAGGTGAACCGCCTCATGCAGACGGAGGAGACTGAGGCGGGTGAGGGCGTGGTGGGGAAGGACGGGGTGCTCCGGGCTGTGGACAATGAGGAGGATGGGGTCACCTACAGCTACAGCTTCTTCCACTTCCACCTGAGCCTCGCCGCGCTTTACATCATGATGACGCTCACCAACTGGTTCCAGTGAGTAAAAGTACACACCACCTACAATGGGATGATTAAATATGAGTATAAATGGCTGACTCCTATCTGTGTGTGATACAAAATGCACATTCTTCATTAAAGGTCAGTTACTTTTTAAATTGTAATGCTGAGGAGATGCTTTCTTGAATGCAAGGTCCGGTTAGACCCACCCCCACAGCTTCTTGATTGGATGCATTGAATTAAAATCCTTGATAGGCAACTGAGACCCCTCACTATTGGTCAAACTATTCTCTTCGAGCAAATATTGCTGGTGGCGGTTATGCCAATGGGAGTGGGAGGGATTGCATTTAATATATTACTTGTGAAAAAAAATAAAAAATTAAAGGATAGAAGGTATAGGACTAAGGTCTTATATGAATATAATCATTCCTACAAAAACAAATACATTAAAGTTGCACTTCTCTGCTCTGTTCATGATGTCATAGCTTGTGGATTGGTCATCGTGTGGTGCCCAGTCTGATTTCTGGTAATGTGTCCATTTTGTTCGACTTCAGCACTGGGACACCTGCCAGGAGAAGTGAATAGTTAGTTCTCTCTTAAAATTTGGCTAGAAAAGAACTCATAGATTTCAGACCAAATTTCCATTCCTTAAAAAAAATCAATTAAGGCCATAACATTTTGGGCCATCTTTCTAACTATCAAACAAACCTACCTATTTAGGAAGTTGGTAAACAAGAAGAATAAAGCCACATGACTGAACAGGTCAATTAAAGAAGTGAAACTCCTGAGCGTGATGTTCTCTGTCTCTCAGACCGGACACCAGCACCCAGGCCATGAAGGACAGCATGCCCGCCGTCTGGGTGAAGATCAGCTGCAGCTGGCTTGGTCTGGGCCTGTACCTGTGGACCCTGGTGGCGCCGGTTGTGCTGCCCGACAGAGACTTCAGCTGAAGTCACAGCTTAAGTCACAGTTCACTAAAGTGCTTGTTGAATGAAGTCCTGGGCTGTTTGTTTTAGATGTTCACTTGTTTTCAATATTTACCTTTATTTTCAGAATATATTGCATAACTTTTAAATGCAAGGATAATTTGTGGGTGTTATTCAAAATGTTCTAATTATTACTTTTTGGGTGAGGTAACGCCTATTTCAACTTAAGTTAGTTCTTAGTTTTACACACCTTTTCTCTATTTGCCAGAAGTAGAACAGAGATCTAGAACTGATGACATCACTGTGTGTCTGAATTTGGCACAATTTACAAAAAACCTACTCAACTAAACAATAGGCATATTCCTTTAATATTGTATTATTTTTTTCTAGAGCATTACATAATATTATGTCTATTATTACATGATTGCTAGGTCAAATTAAAATGATTTTATTGCTCAAAATCACAACAGCAGTAACATGCATTCCAAATAGTTGATCAAAAATTGTTGATTCCAAAGAGTATCCCAACCACAAACCTCTGCTACTGTTTGAATTGCCAACAACTGCCATTCAATACAACAAATAGAATATTTTCAATGATTCGCCAATCTTAAGAGGGAGTTGAGCAAATGAAAATTATTCCGGAGTCCCATTTCCTTAGACGCTCTTTCCTCCCTTCTTGGTAATATCCCACAACTCATCTATTGTGCTGAAGAAATCAAAGTTTTTATTCAGTTGAATGAATGGTTAGTGTCATAAAAATGTGTTTGTTCTAAATTGTGCCAAACTTTCAGATGAACTCTGTGATTACCTCTAGCAAATGTTCATGTTGTTTAATGTTTAAAGTGTTTTTTATTCACAAACAGCCTTATTGGTGTAAAAAAAAATTCTATATTAAACAGCTATTATCCCCCACAGTTTTAAAGTTCAAATGCACTAATGTAGGACATCAGGTGAAGCACCACTCTGAGTATGAAGCCTTGTGATTGGTCCACAGTGGGATTCCCACATCACTGTTTGTTCACACAGAGCCCCCATAGAGGCCTTGTCAGCGCCCCCCGGAGGCCTTCTCTGTCCCCCCAGTGTACATCTGTGGCAGTCAGATAAGGCCCTAGACCCGCCCTAGACTGGTCTCCGCAGTTAGGACGTCCTCACATCTTCCCCAGTCCCCACCTGCTCCAGGATCAACTTTGGACAAACATTATACTGACCAAACATGAGTTTATAGGAATTCCATTATTTAGTTGAGTCTGATCTAAAGTCAGGACACGCGCTGGTGTTGGGGAGAATACTTTACAATGTTTTGACAGATTGTTAAATGGCTGCTTTTATGCATGTTGCAACATAAGTTGCTACATGGTCCAATCCGAGGACTGTATGTGCACCCACCCACATGCACGCGTACAAGTTTTCATGTTAAGATGTAATATGACTTTGAAGCATAATTTGCATTATTAAAAGGAATTAAGTTTGGTGGTTTCCTGAAAAAACACCTGCAGAAAACCAAATATTCATAAATAATATTCCGAATATGTATTGTCACTCTCCAATACTAAAAATTGTTTTGTATAAATCATTAACTTGAAATGAAGAGAAAACTCTAAACCACGTCAAGATTAAGCACTATTCCATTCTTGTATTATTATTATTCAATGTGCACATAGGACTCAGTCCAGTCAGGCTGTTGTGTGAAGAAGGAGCAGTGTCTGCAGTCAAAGCTCTGGATTAACTCAGCCTGCTCCCCACCCTCACCTGTTATCATGAGGTTTAGGGTAGGAACCAAAGGGTAGCTGGCCGCTGCCTTTGAAAGAAAAGGGAAATGGGAAGGTTGGTTATGAGCAGAGTCAGGCTCATGCATATAGGACTGGGGTAACTCATTTTTGTTTCATAAATAACACATGTTACACTTTGGGCTGAGAGATGATTGCGGGAAGGTGGTCCTCTTTTTTCATTTTCATTTTCCGTTTGTTAAAACTGTGACAGAGGCAACCATACATTGGTATTTGAAAACTGGATTCAATTATTTTATTACTTAAGGTACCCCAGCTTAAAATAATTGCGGCCTTTGCTGTTCCAAATAGCAAGTCCAATCAGCAGTTCTATCAGCTGCAGTGTTTAGAGCTGCTCACACTTCAAAGAATGTGCTGTATTATAATTTCAAAAAGGGAAGATATTTCAAATTTGCTGCAAGAATGTATAATGTTGTAAATATAATGTATCATGCTGTAATTACCTCAAATTCAGTCACTTTATATGTCGTCCCTGTTCATTTCAGTTTTATTATATTTCACATTTGAAACACAAGGTTTTGACTTTTCCTGCCGACACTATTTTTCATTTTTCAAACAACGCAAAGTGCCTTCGAAGGGCTGTAATGTTATCTTAATGTGAATATTTAAAATGTTTCCGCAATTGCTTTTATATTGTTGTGTATCAGTTGGTAAAATGTGCATGTAAATCCTACTTTGCCAGATTAAATGGAATCACATGACTTCATTAAAATGTCTGATTAAAGCTGTGTTTCTTGAGTGTGGTGCTTTAGGACGTGAGGTCCCACAAAGGCCCGAGCTGTCTGCTGGTCGTGCTTCTACTTTTATTCATTTCAACAGAAAAAGTAAATACTGTGATCTTAATTATTTCTTTGGAATCAGGTTGGGAATCTCCTCCAGATTGTTACTCACTGTTGCTTTGATAAAACCTTTGGAAAGTTTTTGATTCGTTTTTTTTATTTTATCTGTTACAAGGTAAACATATGTTCAAAACAAATAATATCTGATAACAATTGTAAGGATACTCGCACAAACTATTGTACTGAGTGAAATAGATTTTTATCTGGTTCTACTCAGTATTATGCATTCACTCTTTTGGGGAAACAATTACTATAGCCACAGCTGCCCTCAGGGCAGACTGATGAAAGTCAGGCTGCTAATTAATCTGTTCCATCAGCCCCTCCAACCACCACCAGTAGATCTACTGTGGCACCTGGGGCTGTATTCCTAAAGATTTTTAGTGCTAAAAGTTGCTCTTGGTGGCCAAATTCTAAGGATATTCTTAGAATCTTGACGTACTCTAAGAATTTCCACTAAAAGTGAAGAGAAGATCCTAGTTTAAAAAAAAAGCTTTCCTAAAAAATCCTAGCTCTCAAGAGAGCTCCTAATGTGAGATCTCCTAAGAGTAGAGAGGAGGACTTGTACCGGCTTAAAAGTTCCCTAAGAGGAAAAAATGGCTGATGGAAGAGAGAGGAGTTATTATTATAGATCCATGGATATTTTACACATCATGTTTGTGGTATATTTGATAGTCAATCATGTGACCATATCATACCAATCATAATAATGATTTTCTCTATCAAGATATTGTACAAAAAATGTATACATAGAATATAATAAGTGCTTATGTTATACGTGAGTTAAAAATGATAATTGGTGCAAGCTTTGATGGTGTGGTGTATGAGTATAACTTACTATTCACAGCATTTTACATTGATATATCTGACTTTCTATCTTTTCTGACTATTATTTACAATGACATAGTCTTCCTAAGATTAGATTCCATGACTGGGTTTGTTCATTTTAGCGTCCTTATTTTGCCCATTATCACCAAAAGTATGTTTACTCTAACATTTAGGATCAACCAATCACAGCGTTTGAAATGATGACTCATACCTTCCAACAGGGTCGGCCACGCCTCTTCACTAAGATAGGAGTTTTTATTCATTCCTTGCTCAGAGTTCACTGAGAATTTTCTGGAATAACTTTTAGGCTAAGACTCCCAGCGAGGAGATTTTCGGTTAAGTTTGGAGCTCTCTAAGAGGACTCTGAGAATCTTTAGGCATACGGCCCCTGGAGTTCCCAGAGGTCTCCCATCACAGTACTAACCAGGCACTGTCCATCTATCTTCTGAGGTCTGACAGGATGTTTTCACATGTGACTCAATGCTCTGAACTGATACGATTATTGAGAATACTGTTTTTAAGTATCTATTCAGAATAGCTACTTTTCATATATTGAGGTGATACATTTTGTTTTTTATATCTGAAATTAAAAAAATATATGCATAAATATCAACAACAAACAAGGTACTCTATTGTATGCAAATTTTTACACTATATTGTTATGAAAATGAGCATACAAGTATTCCATGTTTTCAGAATACAGTCCTTTTACAGATTAAGAGTTCCACAGTGGGGAAATGTCAGTGATGCGTCACAAGTTAAAGAACAGAAGGAATGAGTGGCGCACAAAGACATATTAAGAGGTAAATATAAGGTATAGCACAACTCTGTACTAAAGAAAAAAAGTTTAGAAGTATAAAACCTATATACTCTAGTACAAATAAATACAGTATCGACTTGCCTGTATAACTCTAGACTACAATAATAATAATAAATGCATGTTGCTATATTCTCCCCACACTGAGGATGTTTACCTGTGGCCTTTCATTCAGAGGTTTAGATTTTATCATAATTTCTGCTTAATCTATGTTTTTTTCCCAGTTTTTTCTTGACGTCATAAAAAAGTCTTTCAAAGGTCTTCCATTTGCTTTGGCCACCGCCTACTCTGATGTTGACCTGTGATGTGACACCGATAGTGAGATTACACACGTCTGAAAGGACTTGTTCATGCTTTAATTTCTATAACTTGTTTACACCCTGTTTTCATGTCGGCTCTGAGTGCTGTTGGCCGTCTCCACCTCTGCTCAGTCAGTCCTTGCGCCGCAGACCGAGATGTGGCTTTTTTTGGATTGAGTTTATGTATATTTGTGGGGTGTGCAAGTGTTTTGACTGAGTTTGTGTTGAGTTGGCTGCTGATGATGAACTGCCTCTTGTGGCTGCCGTTCCTCACTGTAGTGGCCCCTCATCATCGGCCCTCATAGGCCTATTGCTGGAAGTCAATCATAACTGCGCTTCCTATCGTCTCTCGCCACAGTAATTAAAAGTATAAGAGAAATGACCCAGGGCTGCTTTTTAGGGTGTTTTTAAATCACTCTGTTGGTGAATTTGACTCGAGGATAGCACAAGGGTTAAACAGTGCCCTGCGTACTCTCTGAGCTCTCATATTGAGCAGCTACTCACCATCACTGCCTCACCAGCCAGACCACCTAGGCACCGGGGATATGATGTCATTAACCTCTGTTTCAATAATAGCCTCTTAACTGAGTGTGACTGAGGGACTACAGATGGAAATTAGCTACTCCGCTACAATCTGGTGTATTTCCAGCTCCTGCTGTTCATGTATATGCACTGTTCCAAATAAACACGTAAATAAAATAAAAAAAAAACATACACTGAAGTCTAACCTTTACATTTGTCTCCAATGCTTTTCAATCTGGAAACAAATGGATGTTTATTGGTTATGCATATATGTTGCATTGACTAAGCACATCAGAATCTGCAGACAATTCAGTTTTTTGTGTGTATATTCCTAATTCACAACATCAGTTGTCTCGGAGGACCATACAAAATTGTCAATTTTCTTACAATCAAACAATTGGAAAACATAATATTCATTAATTAAACAAACACAGAGGAGCCATTGGTCCAAAGGCTATGGGTGACCAATGTCAGAGATGTAAATATTTACACATGTGCATGGGTTTCCCATAAATATCCCAGATCATTACTATCCTCCGACCCTCCTGCATTGTAAAACTTCAAAACTTGTATTTTAGACCCAACCCCAGCTAGGCTAAGACAATCTCCCCTTAATAACAGACCCTATCTTAAATATAATAAATACTTCAATAGAAAGCATCCCATAAGCCTTCAAAACTGTAGAAATTAAACCTCTTCAAAAAAAACTACAGGACAATACATACAATACGAAGCCAGACTTCAAATTATTCAAGAGCTGTCACAATTGATTAGGCATATTGGGCAATTGCCTAGGGCAGGGATGCTCACACCAAATTAAAATGTTACAGTAACCAGTGAGCTGAGATCTACCACAATTTTAATGTTCAAAATGATTCAGATATCTTACAATTTGATGTTACTGTATTCGTGTTGCAGATGGATTATGATTTGTCAACAATCATGCAATGTTTGAGCATTTTTATAATAATTTGTCATGCTTCTCAGCTGCCCTGGGATTCAGGATTCCCCTGGAGAAGGTGTGTGTGGAACCAAACCTTTACACAGACAATGTGTAAAGGTTTTAATGAGCAATGGAAGCGGCCCTCATTCATCCTAAAACTCCTGGATAACTCATGCTCCACTCACTGTTCCTCGATGACAGAGCACTGCAGCCGCCTCTGAGCTGTGTGTGTGCGTGTTTCTGTGTGTGGTTGCACGGGTTTGCATGTTTGTGTGCGTGTGTGTGTGTGTATGTGTGCTTGCTGTGTTGTACGCATGCTCAAGCGGGAGAAACCTAGCAGTTATGTAAGCGTGAGTGTGGTTGTGTCTGAACCAGGGCCTTCTCCCCACTTCTCCACCACTCCCCCCCTCCCCCTCTCTATCCACTCTCCTTTTCTTACATAAGTCTGCCAGAGAAGCATGCATACGCACACACAGGGACAAACCTTGTGGCCGTGTCTGAAAACAGGAGACACAAATCAAGTGGCTCAGCGGACCTAAAAGCAACAATGCCAATCATTTTTCAAATAGTACTCTAAAATAATAAGTATTCACGTTTGAATTAAACTTGAAAATCCCAGTTAAAGATGCTATACCCGATTTTTGTTTTAATGAGTTCATAAAAATGCTTATTACTACATACAAGTTGTATTATAATCTGTAATTTAATTGAAAACTTGAGCTCATTGATTCAGCTTGTGTATGAATTCAGTCCGTAAAAAGTGCTGAGTAGAGACTTTAGCGTGACGCCCGCTCTCCTCCACTCACATGAAAAAATGACCAAAGAAGAAATCAAGGCCAGGTGAACATAGCTAGCTTACATTGTATCCTCTGGAGAGACTTGTCTATGGAAGAGACTTGTCTATGGGAGAGACTTGTCTATGGGAGAGACTTGTCTATGGGAGAGACTTGTCTATGGGAGAGACTTGTCTATGGGAGAGACCTGCGGGACCGCCTCGGACTACATTCGGACGCGGAACTAGCGGTAATCTTTCAGTTATATATTTTGTTAGCAGTGCGTTGCTTTTGAGCCATTTCATCAGTGATTGTTGTACAGCTTACAAGAAATTGCGCTCATGCTAATGTTAGCATATAGATCGCAAATAAAACTAGATGGCTCCGTGGAATGAGAGCGTAGGGGAAATGAGAGACCTGCATTCAAACCTTGCAGAAACGGCTATAGCTCCTTTAATAATGCGGCTCTATACATTCTACATGTTATACACAATCTATTCTGAATTTAGAAACCTTTAATTACATCTTTTCGTACCCAACCCGGAGTATCTAAAAAAAATTCTGTCTATCCCTCGTGAATCATATCAACTGTTTTGTCTGAGGCCGTGGCACTGACGCTTTCCGAGGCAAGCTGATTATCCCTCCAGTGTCTTGGGTCTTCCCTGGGGTCTCTTACCAGTCGGTTTGCCCAGAACAAGGAGGCATCTGGAACATTTTCCTATTCTCGCCTCCTCAGCTAGATGCCCTGGAGGAGCAGTGGCTCTAATCCAAGCTCCTCCTCCACTCTCTATACGAGCGCAAAGCCACTCTGAGGAGGAGCACATCAATGGTCTTGTTCTGTGGATCATTTCCCAAAGTTCATGACCATACTGTAGGTGAGAGTGGATTCAATTGAGCTGTGAATCCAGGTCTTTGACTGCAGACGCTGCTCCCTCTTCCCCACAGCAGTCCGATACAGCGACCGCATCACTGCAGATAACGCACCGACCATCTGTCTATCACACTATTTATCCTACCCTCACTGAGAATAAGAACTGGGAGACTGGAACTCCTCCGGGAAAGACGTCTGCACCTGGTGAGGGCTGTATTGAAGTGTGATCACCACCAAGCATGTGAGAAATGTTCTGTTTTGGCATAGATTGTTGTACGCAGGTTCGACAGAGTCACAAGGTTCTGTTCACTTCAAACAATACAAGAAGCAAAATATTACATAGTTTTATCCTCATCTGGCTCCTCCTCTGGTTCTCCTTCTCTTGAACCTCATCTTTCTCCTACGACTCTGGCACCTCCTCCTCTTGCTCCTCACATGGCTCTGGCTCCTGCTTATCTAGCACCTCATCTGGCTCCCCCTTCTCTGCCCCCTCTTCTGGCTCCTCCTCCTTTGGCTTTTCATCTTCTGGCTCGTCCTCCTCTGCCTTGTGTTCAGCTCTTCTTCCTCTGGTTCCTCCTTCTTTAGCTCCTCCTCCTCTGGCTCCTCTGTAATGACATGAACAGGAGGTGAGTCTTGACCTGTAAAGTCACTTTCACTGACTGAGGTCCACACACGGGCTGCAGAGGTGGAGCTGCATTCTCAGGACCCTGCTGCTTCAGCTGGACCACAGTTACACAGAGCACAAGCATTTTTATTTGAGACGGGAAAGATTGCACACCATTCATTTACAGCACGACAGGTAAATTCAGTGAGACTGTGCAAACTAAAGCAATGTTCAACAACTGAATTGTGCCGGTTTGAATTGTGCATCCATATCAGACTTGTTCTGGAGAGAGATTCTCCATCTGCAGATTTCTCCAAGTGTTATTTCTTCCCACCTCCTCATAACACAAAGATCAAATCTCATCATCATTGTTAAAAATGTTATATTTCACAAAAAATAACATCGATTACATTTGAAATCTGGTGTTTCTGTTTTGCATTGATGACTTATGTATGCTTTAATACAAGGATGTAGATGAATCCATGGGGATGTGTGGTTCTAATACAACTTTGCTTTGGCAGATATGTGTTACTTTTGCTTCTTAGAAACACAGTTACCGAGTCATTTGTGGCAGAAGTCATTCGTAACTCTAACTACTTACTTTAGATGAGAACACGGTTTATAACGTGGAACAACGTCATCATCCGGCTTGTATCATGTCTATGTAGAGGATCAAGGTCAAACTAGGTTTTCCAAACTCAATTTCTAAACTGTCTTTTTAAGCACTCTATAAAATGCAATTAAAGCGTAACTTCAGACTGGTAGACTATCCACACACATCATCAATAGCAGGCTGGCCCCCTCTTCCCTCAGCCTATCACATCCGCTTAGTCAACTCCCTGTGTCAATATATATATATATGTGGTTGCAATTTGAGCAATTTGGGGCATATGTCAGTTTTACAGGCACACCTTGGTGCTTGAGGTATAAGCCGTCTAAAATGGATCATTCAGACCGGCTGGATCATGGGTTGCGGCGACTTTCAATGTAAAGTCAGTGATGATGTCCGCTCGAGCGTGGAATTGCATGTGCTTTGCGGCACCCACGCATAGACTGCACGGCAGAGGTGACGTTGCGGCAGAGGTGCAGGAGCGGCAACTCAAAGCAGGCAGGAGGTGGACATTGCAGAACTTTGTCTGTCGGCCACACATGCAGTTACCAATCATAGAGCCGCAAAGTGGTCACGGGGACACTAGCGGTCTGAGCGAGCTGACCGAAGATACTTGTAAACAGCCAAAACGGGAGCTAAATAAGGACTAAACCAGGATTGACAATGGGGGACACAGTGCCTGTGAACATTTGCCTCAAGCCTGAGTTCTCATTCTCCTGTAACTGTAAACAAGTGCTGCTAACGTGTTCACCAATGCGGAAATACCATTTAATAATAAAATAAACATATGGCGCATCGCCGTGAACACATACTGCTGTTATATGAAGTCTCTGAAAGGTCTCAGACACAGAGACGCTGAAGAGCTGCATTCTTTGAGAATGCCGCCACTTCCGCCCTGCGTTTTTTCCAACAGCAGGCCAGGACTTCAGTTTTTGTAAACTCAACTGTCTGAAATTTAGACGATGTGCGTCCAGTGCGCGTGGAAGCTGCGTTCAAGCGTCTGTGGTCTGAACCTATGAGGGAAACACATCTCCATCTAATCATTTTTAGGAAAGATTGGTCAAAAACAATCTGTTGTCGCCCATGATGTCCCACAGACAGTGGTGACCAACGCCATTAGCGTCAAATAAGGGGAAGATTATCTGGAGCCTAAATGTGTGGTCTAAGAAATATGGCTTGAATCAGCTCTACGAACTCTTTTGTAATTATCTCTTAGTACTTTATATTGTGTTTTTTATATATTGACTTTCACAGACAACAAAGCGCTTTACAATTGTCTTTTCAGCCTACAGAGATGGGGTCGGCATAGAGGAGGCGCATGCCAGATCTACGGTACATGTTTTTAGTGGGGAAACCGGAGCACCCGGAGGAAACCTATGCAGACATAGGGAAAACATGCAAATTCTGCGCATGTTTTCCCTACCACTGCACCACAAGCAAGGTCAAATTATTTACCTTGCATTTATGTATTCAATAAAGTTAATTGTGTCTATTAAATATTGTGTTGCAGCCCCTCTACCCAGCCTGGCCACCCATTAGAGTCCCCTATTTTTCTGTTCTCAATTTGGCGACCCAACCTAACGAGGGTCCTGTGGCTGCGGTCTTTATGATGCAGCTCCGCTACTGCATCTTCACCACAAATATACACGCAAATACGCACACACAAATATACGGACACACAAATATACGCAAACATAAATATACACATATAAACACACACATATATACACACACACAAACACACACATGCACAGATGAATACACACACGGACACACAAATACACACACACACCCACGCACACACTTACACCACACCTCTTGGGGGCGGTCCGCTGCTGCAGCTCTGCGCGCGGCTTGTTGCACGGTGCATGAGTGCGTATTAGAAAGGGGCGAGATGTGGTTGTGTTGTGGCCGTCAGCTGAACCAAGCTCCGCGGTCCTGCCCACCTCCTCCTCATCCTCCTCCACGCTCCAGCATCCACCGCCACACGAGCCTCGGAATGCGGACCAGCGCGCCCTACGCTTCGGGAGACGTGGCTGCAGCAGACGCGCCGTAACGAGCTGGTAAAGTCAACATGCGCCGTTTTAAACAGCGACTTGAATTTTATGATGTCATGATTTTAGATCCTGGGCAGCAGTGTTGATTTGAGTTAAATTATGTTATTTTCTCTATTTTAGTCTAGTTTTAGGTGGAAATGTCCTATTTAAAGCTTGGGTACGTAACTTTCTCACAGTAAACTATGTAAGAACATCTATGTTACTCGTTACTGGCTCTAAAACAGAGAAAATTATCGCTAGTTTTCATAATGACTCATTTTTGGCCTTTGTCACATCTTTAGATCAGCTTTTTCAGACGGAAAAGTGACAAAGAGAGGACCACCTTCACTCAGCCAATCAGCTCTCAGCCCAAAGAGTCAAATAGTGGCACATGGCTCTTTCTATGCAAAAGATAAGATATTTTATTATTACACAAGTGTATTATTAGACAAGTGTCGTGATCTGTTCATAAACTCTTTCTTTTCTACGAGACTCTTTCTGTTGGGACAAACTGCATATATTTTGTCTGGAGACTGCCTCAGCAAATAGCTAATACTGGAACATTTACAGCAATGTTGATTAATGTGTACTGTCCCTATTCAAATAATAAAAAACATATAAAATAAAATAATTGTTGGGGAAAAGTTAGGTATCCCAGCTTTAAATCGTGACATAAGTATGATATATGTCTCTGGTTTGGCTTGTTAGTGGTCCATAAAAATGATTTAGAATGTGTTTTGTCATTCTCACTAAGTATTTGTACATTTGAGATGTTTTGCTTTTACTTGTTGTGTGGGCACCCTTTGTAGGCCCCCCTACTGTGACTCAGAGACCCCCCAGGGAGCCCCAGGCCTCACTTTGGGAAGCACTGGTCGAAATAGGCCGCGATTATTTAGGTGATGTGTACAGGTCTGTGAGTTTGTTTGGTTTTAATGATCTCTGTTGCTAATGGAGCACTGTTCTGATGGTGCTTTCAGACCGCAAACGCTGAAACGCACGGCCCTGGCGCGCGCCGGAAGTGCCGGAAGTAGCCGGCCGGCTCTGATGCTAACAGAGTTTAGCTAGCGGCTTCTCGTGTAAAGATCTTCTCCAATAATTCAGCTTTGCAGCGTGTCTATGTTCAGAGACCTTCTACGGACTTTATATAACAGTAGTGTGTGTTCACGGAGGTGCGCAATAAGTTTATTTTATTAGTTATTTTATTATTAAACGGTACTCCCGCATCGGCGAACTCGAAGCATAAAGTCACCGGAGCATGACAACTCACATGTTAACAAGCACTATGTCCCCCACTGTCAATCCTGGTTTAGTCCTGATGTAGCTCCTGTTTTGGCTGTTTACAGTATTTTCAGTCTGCTCACTCAGACCGCTAATGTCCCCGTGACCACTTTGCGGCTCTCTGATTGGTTGCTGCACAAACGTCCCGAGGAAAGGTTGAGCAAAATTCATCTCCAGCGTTCCTCCCCTTCGACTTCCCAGGGCGGTCCGTGCGTGCATTCCAAGACGTTCGTGCGTTTTGACGCTCGAACGCGCGTCACCATTGACTTTGCATTGAAAGCCGACGCAACGCATGATCCGGTCTGAACGCGGCTTTAGAGTTTGGATGCGCCCTATAGTCATTAGTGCTTCATGTCTGAGGAGTTTGGTCTGGTTTGAGCCTCTGAGATCATTTGTGGGTTTCTAAATGACCATAATAACTTTTCACTTTTTTGTTGTCAATATTTAATTTAATTTGATCAGCAGTTATGGAAAACGCTACTATGCAACAAAATTAACTTCTGATCAAAACTTCTTATTATCTGCTCTCGTTCATTATCTGATCCACAAATGTTTTCATGAACCAATATTATGCATTAGTTGCGTTGATGTTGTGTGAATAGATGAGAGTCAGGGGTGTGGTAATCAAGATTATGTTTTATAATATTTTGTTTGTTTGTTTAAGCAGACAAAAACATTGCAAACAGAAAACAACATGGAAAATTTATATATGGATTAGATGTTTGAATAATGATTGTTTCATCTATAGACACATTTTTTGTTTGTAGATAATTTCAATTCATCTTCAATAACTGAAATATAAATAAAACATACAATTTCGAAAAAATTATATGAGCCATCTTGTTGTAGTGTGACCTCGACACAAAGTTGTAAAAAGGGGTAATTTAAAGGCAGTAGTTTTGATTTAAAAAGCAGAAAACAGCCCTGTCCATAACATTGCATAAGTCTCATTCCTGCGGCTCTTTCATTTATAGAGTTGTCCTTCTAATTATAATTTTGGAAAGCTTATATTGATCCACATGGATGATGAACTTGCCGAATTTAACGGCAAGACCAGTTTTGGTTTAAAAGACAGAAAAGGTCATAGTCAGAGGTTTTTGTCTCATCATCAAGTTTGTAAAAGGAGCATTTTGACAGATGAGGAGGATAAGGTAATGGAATAGTTTACCATGGGTCCATCATCTCTCCTCTGCATTTGCATCTTTCAACTTCACAAGGGCCTCTGTTAGGAGCAGTGCAGCGCCCAGGGAACTATCTCCAAATGCTGACGCTCTTCAGGACCAGAGCTGGTGAATTTTACCTGAGGTGCATGTTTTGAATCTGCAACCCGGTCACAGATGAAGAGAAGAACATGGATAGATGGTGTTTTTAGGAAACTAAAGAGAACATTTTTAATAAGAGATGACATGAACCATTTTGTGCTAAAAGTGAGAGATTTGGATCTAAATCTAATTTAGTGTGGTCTAGTAAAAGACCCAGAGTTGTAAAAAGGGTAATTTAAAGGCAGTCGCTTTGAGAGAAGCCAGAGCACTCAGAGGAAACCTACAGATAGACAGGGAAAACTCCACACAGAAAGTCCCAGGCATCACATCAGGTTGGTGATGTATGAAATAGATAACTTGAGTTATAAATAAGTAATTTGGTGCAAAAACTTTCAGAAATATGGCAGAATGTGATTTGTGCTTTTTTTATTTGTTTGTACCAACATGATACTGGCATGAAATATCGGTGCCGATAATGAAAACATTGTTGATTTGATGATATTGGTATCTTGAGTAGGCCTTTATTTATTCATAAGTGTTAACTGGCTGATATGAGCCCAGAATGTCACATACAGTTGGTTTAACTTTCATTCCGACAGTAGTTCTGTTGTCACTACAGAATCAACAGTTAATTTAAAATATACTTAGACCCATTTGTATTAAGGAAGCCAAGAATTGAGGGGAGAAAAATGCTACCTGCAGTCCCTTCACTGGTATCAGTTTATATCGAGTATCGTCAGAAGCCAAAGTACTTAAAAAAGCTGGACCAGCTGTTTTTGTAGAGGGAACAATGTTGTCACAGTCATGTACTCACAATGGGTGATTTTTTTCTTATATACATTCCAGAAAATGTCTTGTAAATGCGTAACTTTTAAACCAGAATCAGTCATGTATACTAGGGCTGGGCGATATGGCGATATGGCTGAAAACTATATCACAATATAAGTCATTCATATCGGTCGATAACAAAATATATTGATTGTTTTTTTTTAACCTAAATAAATACATTTGCCGTGTGAGCTAACAAACCTTAGCAGCCTTGTTTACAGTCACGGGGGAATGAGGCCGGAGAAATATGTTCACACTGTGTCCCCCGTTGTCCATGGACGCTACACATGGTGCGGTTGTTGGTGTTTTTGCATTTCTCAGAAAGTTTTGCGGTTCCTGCTTGGCTGTGATTGGTCGGTTGCCTACATCCCCCAGAATGCCACGCGCTTCTGACTCGGCTTTACTTCCTGTGTTTTCTTCCTGTTTTTCCAACGGAGTGAAGTTAAACTATCGAAGTTCTATCGACGCCGTTTTCTATCGCTATCGAACACATGTCTATTGCAATATATATCATTATTGTTTTTTCGCCCAGCCCTAATGTATACACTACCGTTCAAAAGTTTGGGGTCACCCAAGTGTTTTCCATGAAAAGTCACACTTATTCACCGCCATATGTTGTGAAATGAATAGAAAATAGAGTCAAGACATTGACAAGGTTAGAAATAATGATTTGTATTTGAAATAAGATTTGTTTTGCATCCAACTTTGCTTTTGTCAAAGATTCCTCCATTTGCAGCAATTACAACATTGCACCAAAAACCAGACATTTGTAGCTAGAATAGTCATTTACCACATAAGCAATGTATAGAGTGTATTTCTTTACAGTTAAGACTAGTTTAAAGTTATCTACAGCTTTTCCTTCAAAAATAAGGGCATTTCAATGTGACCCCAAACTTTTGAACGGTAGTGTACATTGTCTTCATCCAATTAGAAAATACTTGCCCCTAGAGTTGATTTGCTGAGTGGTTTAATTCTCTTATGTGTCACCAGTGAAATAGCTGCTCTCTAGCTGAAGATATTTGCATAAACTAAACCAAACGTGAGTGTTGTTTTATGCAAAGGTCTGCCGTCCACTGACATCTTACAGCATCCACAATATGTGTTTAGTACATTTATCCACTGGAAGAAACTGATCAACTTTAGGCTGTTATGAACCATTATTTTTGATAATTGTATAATATTTTGTAGGGCTTTGCGATAATACGATAAAGATATATATTGCGATAGACATGTGTTTGATATCAAGAGAAAATAGGGTTGATAGAATGTTTGATAATTTCACTTAACTCCGAGCCAGAAGCGCAAGACATTTTGGGGGACGTAGGCAAAGGCTTTTCAACCTAACATGGCCGAGCATGAACTGCAAGGCATTCTGGGAGATGCAAAAAAAAAAAACAGCAACAACAACAGGCCGTTCAGACCGGACCATGCGTTGTGTCGTGTTTCAATGTTGTGTCACTGATGAGGAATTGCATGTGCAGCGCAGCAGGGGCGGTAGGTACGGCGCAGAGGCGGTGGGTGCGGCGACTCGATGCATGTGGCAAAAGCAAGAGATAAACGTTTTCCTCTGGAAGCACGTGCACCAATCAATCAGAAAGCCGCAAAGTGGTCACAGTGGCACATGCCGGTCAGAGCAAGAAGACTAAGGACACTCGAAAACAGCCGAAACAGGAGCTAAACCAGGACTAAATCAGGATTAAACCAGCCAGGACTGACAATGGGGGACACTGTGCTTGTGAACAAATCAATAATTATTGATATCGACTGATATGAAACGCTTATATCGTGATGTAGTTTTGTTTTGTTAGTTTTAGTTTTGTTTTCTGCCATATCGCCCGACCCTAAATATTTGATCAAAACAAAGCGTTACAAATACGTGAACAAATGTTCATTCTGCAGTCATTATAAAATTAGTCTTCAAAGCTTCTCTATAGACGTTTCACAAAACAATTATCTATTTCAATAATTGATTAGTTGCAAATAATCAATAAACTTTTTATTCTACCCCTTAAACAATATAGTAACTGTGGATATTAAAACTGGAGTACCTAACTTTCAAACAACAAAACAAACATGTATAAAAGAGGACCATCCTCACTCAGCCAGTGTCAAATGGGATTTTTCTAACAGCAAAAGATTTTTCTGATAAGATGAAGATGGCAAGATGAGCCCTGGTTTCTTTAAAAAAAATTTTTTTATAATTACTTCTACAAACAAATTAATTCCATGTACTAGAATGTTACACAATTCCTTAAAGCTCCAGTACATTTTCTATGTTCATATCATTGAGATTTTATGTTCTCAATTTTAACAAAACTTCACTCAAACAATTTATCATATACATTTACTTACAAGCGTATGTACAGTAAATAAACACAGTGCTAACTGGGTCTACCCCTTAGCATCACAGCAAGAAGGTCCTGGGTTTTATCCCGTATCCGCCTGGGCCTTTCTGCGTGGAGTTTGCATGTTCTCGTTTAGCCAAACATGTTGACAGATATTTTGCATAGTTATGAAAAATTTAGAACAGGACACGGCCACTGCTGTGATAGGGCTGAATAAGTAAACTTGGCTCATGTGCTGTTTACACGAGGACGCTCTGACAGTAAAATGTTAGAGTTGGGTATCGGATTAGCCTTTTGTTTACATGAAGGCGGGGGGCTGTATCACAGCCATGTGAGGAAAAAACGAGTTAATTCTCTGGCTGCACCACTTCCCTGCACGTACATTTGGACATGCTCAGTAGCCAAGACCAAACGTATACAGCTATGGCGGCGGATCAAGTAATGCTAGGTGTACTTCGAGCCTTACACAAAGGAGAATTCTACTCCTTTGACCGTCCAAACGAAACCACGCAAATCTTTAGTTTCAGTTTCCAGTTTTGCTGCTACCGGTAAATTCATAATGATGTTGGTGCATACTCTTCAGGCTTTGCGGTGGTGGTGGTGCAGGAGAATGTTGTTGAGGAAGTGAATATACTGGTTGTGCGTGTCGTGTTGTAAAGTTCCATTGCCCCCTACTGGCCGGGTGCTAGAACTACATGATTTTCAAAAGCTGTGTAGACGCTCAGCACTTCGAATACAGGTTCTCCGTCTAAACGGGTCCTTATTTTGGTTCTCCGTCTGTTTGTTTCTATGTAGATGCAGTAATCTCCACATTTCACCCTAAAACCTTCTCTAGTGTGTTTTCATCTTTTTTTCCCATTTGAAAACTGCCTGTGACTTGTGGATTTTATCACATAGCACTAGTTTTATATAAAAAAATATCAACATGAACTTTCACAAATGGAAACATAGTGGCAGAGGAAAACAGGTTTGCCATTCTGTGTGAGGATTCCATGTCCTTCCTGTGTCTGGGCTGTCTTTCTGCAGTCTCGGGTTTCCTCATCACTCAAAACATTTAGCAGTGAGGTTCTGATGCTCAATGATTCAGATTTCATGTGGTACAAAACCTTACTGTAAAAACACATGAAGTTAAAGTTGTACACAGAGAACTGAACAGAACAATAGTTGGTTACTTGCTGCCACAGAGTTATTTAAGATGAAATGTGAAATGCGATTACGACATATTTGATAGTTGAGAAGCAGGAGTCGTGTGTGAAAAGCTGTAGAACAAGTCCACAGCAGCCGTCAACGCCTTGGCACTACCCAACCATTACACAGAGCTCTGGTGTTCGATGTCACTCCACCAAGACTGCTTTTTGTGTGTACTCCATGCGTTTATACTGACGCCTGGAATACACAGGCTCAGACCACTCCTGTCTCAGTATACATGCAGGCTCAGACCACTCCTGTCTCAGTATACATGCAGGCTCAGACCACTACTGTCTCAGTATACATGCAGACTCAGACTACTCCTGTCTCAGTATACATGCAGACTCAGACTACTCCTGTCTCAGTATACATGCGGGCTCAGACTACTCCTGTCTCAGTATACATGCAGGCTCAGACCACTCCTGTCTCAGTATACATGCAGGCTCAGACTACTCCTGTCTCAGTATACATGCAGGCTCAGACTACTCCTGTCTCAGTATACATGCAGGCTCAGACTACTCCTGTCTCAGTATACATGCAGGCTCAGACCACTCCTGTCTCAGTATACATGCAGGCTC